AGATAATGAAATTTTCTTAATTTATATTTTCAAGCAGAAGCTTCAATTGAAACTGGCATCCTATGGCCTGGAGACATAGCTCTAGTGCAAGTTTCAGGGGAGCTGTAATAATAATGCAGTGCCAGCGGTGACAGGGAATGATAGGACAGTGAAGAAGTAATTTAAGAAAGAAAAGAGAATGTACCAAAGCTTTATTGTAGCATATCCAGTGATCTGCTGAAGATTCCCAATAGCTTTTGGAGCATGACAGGAGAAACTAATGTTATCTTGCCAAAACAGAAGCCCCTGCTTAATCAGCAGAACAAGATTATTGATTAAAACACCTCACACAATAGGTTGCACATGGACTCTCATCTCCATACACTGCACATGGAAAAGCGCAATAATGAGCATAAGATAATAAAAAAAAAGAGCAAAAGCAATTTGTTGGGAATTTTACAAGTCCAAGATTAGAGTTTAAATGCAAACAAATTATCATGGAAGGTACAGCTCTCCTTTGAGCACAGAAGGGGTGGGATGCAGCAGGGACATGGCTGCATCATGAGCAGAAAACACTTGCTAACAGCCCTGCTAGAACTGCTTTAGTTTCCTTTTTTTCTGTATTCATCTGAAATGTGAAAGGGCCATTCTTCATTTGCACAGTCTTCTTCCTGAGGTGAAAAGATTTCAGACATTGTACTGTAACTGTTAATTAAACACTCCATTTGATTTCTAGATTACTCTGAGTGATGCATCTGCATTATGAAAATGTAACCTTTCTTCATTCATACATTCATACTAAATTACTGAAGAAATGAGTGTTAGTTACACAATTGCTCCTTGCATTTATGAGAATAGTGATATTTCTTACATTTTCCTTTGCAAAAATTACTATTGCTAGCACAACCTGAATTATCATCCCTTCAGTGCTACAGTTAGTCTTTTCCTAACTAGAGTTTCCAATTTAATTTATATATTACCTTTCATAAATCAATAGTTATTGAGTTTGTATAGAGTTCTTTGCAGATCTGCTTTATTTCCTTGTCTTGTAAATAACAAAGTCATTGTATCATAAATCTTTGTGAATATTGTGTCCTAAGCGTGAAGATACCTCTTAGTGTAAGGTAGTATGAATTTTAAGACTGCACATAAAAACCTGAGAATTTGCGTATTTTAACATATGCTGCGGAAGTATGCAGTTAAGTAGATTACAGAGCACTTAAATGGTGCTTAAAACCTACAGAAAACTTAAATACTAGATTACAGACACTAAAACACTAGAGTATTTGTGATTTGACTTCTTAAAATTTGCAGAAATCAGAGCTGTTTTGTATCCTGCCTTCCTTGGAGTTTCCTAAAGGAGCTTTTAAAGAGTGTGACCAAACAGTATATTCTGTGGAAAAAATAATATTAGTTAAAATGAATGAGGGACTTCAAGTTATTTCCAGTTAAGGTTTTTTGAGGTTTGTAATTTATTTTTACCCCTGGTGTGTCTGGGCCAGTTTAGCAAATCACTAGGAACGTTATGTCCACTACAGTCTTGTCTTGGAGAATCTCATGTGGTGGCTGCACTCAGAAGGGGTTTGCCCATTACAAAAGGGAATGAAAACAAGTCACAGGATTGAGTTGAAGGCTGTAGCAGTGTATGTCCTCTTCCTTGGGTATAGTGTTTCCAAGTCTAAAGGTTTCTCAAAGTTATGAAACTCAGCTACAACAGTGTGGAGGCTTTGATGATCTGTAGCCATGTAGAATAATATGTTTAGTGCTATGTTACGGAGAGTGGAGTATCTTTTGTCCAGTATACCACAGAATTCAGAGCTTCTTGTCTTAAAGAAGCTCAAATGAAATCTTTATCAGTTCATAGAATGGTTTTTGCTGGCAGCAGCAGAACTGTAGGCCAGTAACTGATACAGTAGTTAGTATTCCCGGTTTTCCAGGGGAAAAAAAAGAATGCAGCAGACAGAAGACTTTCATTTATCTTGAGAATAAATTGCAGGAGTGTAAATTCCCTGAATTACTTGTCTCAGAGCTACCTCTGCAAAGTCCTTTTATTCTACATCTCTGTCACCCATGAATTGGGGTTGACAGCTGCTGTTGTTGTTGTTTTTATTTGAAGGTTTCACTGGAGTTGCAATATGGCCAGGCTAACTATGTAACAAATAGTTACCTTAATGTTGACTTCTAAAAATGTGAATATCTTAATCAGGTGTCTTTAATTTAAAATCTTAGAAGTACGTGAAAATCAGAACCTTATAATTACTCAGGCTTTATAAAACGCAACCAGCAATGCAGCAAAATCAGTGATTTGAATGGAAAACCCCTACAATTTAAATCACAAATTCTTCTATTCATTTAGTTTTCCAAGTAATTGCACTTCTGTAAGGTGATGGTGTGCTTTGTAGCACTGCAGTGTACTGCAAAAGTGGGCACAGCTTATTGTTTTGGAATCGGGGTGTCCTTCACTTTGGCCAAAGGTAAGCAAAAGGTGGCCCTGTACACAGCGGGTGAAATCTTGCATGAAGAAATAGTCAGAATTTTTTAGAAGGTCAGCAGCTTTCTGTAAACACCCCTTAATGTCTGAAGTTTGACACTAGCACTGTACGAAGAAAAATATACTGCATTTTGTTCTGAATTATTATTATTAGGCATCCTTTTGATGCAAGCTAGCATAAAGTTCTTCTCAGTTTCCTTACTGATGGCAACATTATGAGTCTTTCACTAGAAGGAAATGAAAAAGAAAGAAACAGCTTTTTGTAGGAAGAGTCCATCTTTTTAATAAAATTTACAAATACTTCTAATAGAACTTTTTTCCCACAGCTAAATATGACCTTCATCAGTTTCATTCTCAAGCAATTTCTCCCAATATGTATCCATTTTATTTTGTAACAAATCAATATTTCGCTCTTAATTGCCGCTCAGTCAAGTGAAAAATGAAATTTTCATACAGCTCCAAGCTGTGGAAACTACTATGCCGAATGATGCACTGTGCAGTCTTTTTATGGGAATTATTTTGATTTCAGCTTAAGGTTTGCACTAAGGAAACAGAAAAAAAATTAATTACAAAATCTTACGTTATAAGTTTTCTCATACTGGTTAGTCTGGCCTGAGATGTGGGGCAGAAAAAAAACCAACAAACAGAACAGACAGGCCTGTGAGGCTTGGGCCATTTTGCATTCTCCTGCTTTTACAGCCTCCTCCTACATGACACATGAGAGCAGCACTTTGACCTTTGCGTGAATACAAAAAGTGGCTGTATTGTACATTTTCAGTATTACAGATTCAGTGCAGTGATTTTCTCTGCAAGTTGGGTGCACATTTCATCACTCCAGCATGGGTCTGAAAGCTATTGGATGTGTCATACTCATTTCAGACTCTCTAATATACTGGGCAGGCTGTTGCAGTAAGTCACAGTGCTACTGGGAGTAGTACAGGATTAGTTGTGCGATAGCTGTACGGGGGACCTGCCCCCTGTGCTTTCCAGAAAGTCACTGCTACAAGCAGCACAGAGGTGACAGGTTGAATTCCTCACCATCTATCTGTATCCATGGTTGTGCATATATACAGAAATTCCTGGCTATTTCCAAGTAGTTCTGCAGTTAACGAGCCCTATGAGGCTGGAAATAAGTAGCAAAAAAAAAAAAAAAAAGAAAAGAATTAACTGATTAAGTCAGAAGAGCTGTTGTTCCCAAGCTTGCTCAGAAAGAGGCACAACATGTCCTGACCAGCTCTGCGCTAGTTCCATTCGTATATAAAAAGGAAAGTGATTTATATCAGAGTTCTTCAAATGTGCTTGCTCTACCTTTTATGAGGTAGCGTGAATTATTATTATACCTATTGGCAATGTACAGCTGTTGAAAGCCGTTGATACAAGATAGATTATTTTAGCTTGGGATGTGGTATTCAGGGAGTGTGGGAAGTAGCGGGGCAATAGAGAAGTTGATGTACAGCTGGAGTCAAAGGCTAGACTATTACTTAAATTCAGACTTCTGTTATTCAGTTTGCTGACAAACAAAACTAACCCCTGAGAAGATCAGCCAAGCTCTCTCTCTTTTAGTCACCAAACTCCATGACCTTCTCTTTTTTTTCTTTTTTTCATCTACTTCCTTCTGACAGTTTTTTCTGCATTACATTTTGACCATCTCTCCAGGGTTACGTGGTCATTTTTCCACTTTTAACTTCCAAGCTTTTTTTTTTTCCCTGTAAAAAGGAATGCTACTCCAAAATTTCTTATTATTAAAAAAAAAAACCACCACATTTAAAAAAAAAAACATTAAATTCAGTAGACCCTTTTGGTTAGAGGCATTATAATAAAGCTTTTCTTTTTACCGATATGTATTGACTTCCATTGTTAGTCAAGTCATATATATGTTTCTTATCCAGTCTCCTCTAAAATACATTTTCATTAATTTTCTTGCAGTTGTTCTTTTTAACTGTTTTTTTTCTATTTCCTCAGACAATCATTCTTTACCTCTTTGTGTAACCTAACAGAGGAAGCTTAGAGTCCACCAATTGCTCCTCCTAAAATAATTAAAGTGGAAATGCTAATACTCTTTGGCTACAATAATTATTCCAACCAAAATAATTTCCTTGTGATGTTAAACCATGTGTATCTCTAAAGAGATACATCTAAAGATGGGAAGAATTGCTCATTTGTGTTAATTGTATGTTGTTCAAAATTATGCATTTTTTCATTTCATAGTATCTTTGCATTTTGCTTTGATTTTATTGACTAGTAGTATCAAATCAGTTTATATTTAGGACAGCTATCTTTATCAGTTTCAACAAGTGACATTTGAGGTAACATTCATCTCCAAATTTAAAAGTATAAAGCCTGAAATGAAATATTGTCTTCAAGCCTTATTTATGGATTTTGACTGATCTAGTATTAATTGACTTTGTTGTCTTATGGATTAGACTGCCCAAGTGTGAAGAGAGTTAGCACTGAATATAGTACCTTAGTATGAACTTGCAAATTAAATGTAATTTTAAATTAATTAGCTTGCTTGCTTTTCCCATTACAGGTGCAACAACCGGACACAGTGTATAGTAGTTACCGGATCAGATGTATTTCCTGATCCTTGTCCTGGAACATACAAATATCTAGAAGTTCAGTATGAATGTGTTCCTTACAGTAAGTATAATCTTTTTATTCTTGCTCACTTCCTCTGGCCCTCACAATTAAAGCTGGAGTGCTGTTACACAGAAAAGAAGCATATGTTTATGGCCTACAGACCCATTATGCATGCAGAGCACTTGCAGACTAGGGCCTCCAATTAGCTTCACGAAGTGTGGAAGGAAGCCATGGTGTGATGCTGGCCAAGTGTCTGTCTGTGTTCTTAAGTGTTTGGCTTTTAAGGCTACTGTTTTTCCAGAAAACAAACTCAAATTAGCTATTCAATAGGCCAGATAGAAATTTGTACTTTTGCCCGCTACCAGTTGCTGACAAATTGGCTTGGCTCACAGACTTCTAAAGCAGGAATTGACTTCAATTTTAATCATGATCTACTTGAAAGGCTACCTGCTGTTGTGGTGAATTTGGGTGCATAGCAAAACCCAACACTGACACTCAGAGGCAAATGACCTGGTTGGGGACATTTTAAAATAACTTTGTGCTTCAGGAGCACATATAAGTGAATGCAAATTCAGAGTGAATAATTAATAAGTTACTTAAACTTGGTTCTTAAAAGCAATGGGGAAAAGAGTGAGAAAGAAATGTTTACTTCTAATACAAAGGAAAAATATAAGTTGTGCCTTGAATCAGCTGCCAAAATAGAATTTTTCACTGAAAACAAATACTGAAATCATATTGAGATAGAGAAATTTGAGGTTTTGTACAGTATTCTATTGCCAGAATTCAGTAGCTTTAGACATACTTCGTATTTCCTTGCAATAATTAATGCTTTTTTTCATTGACATGCATGCATGTTTGTAAGAGTTCTGCAGATTCAACACTTTTAACTGGATTTGCTTTCTTGTAAGGTCATTCTTTGCAGTGACTTCTCCCTCGTCCTGTAATTCAACAGAGAAATAGCTGTGTTTGCAGTGGAATTTGAGCAGTGCACTGATCATTCCCTGAAGTTACTATTAAGTGTGAATTTCTTGATCTGCAGTAATCCTTAACCGAAGTCACATTTTCTGTTGGTACAGGAAACAGGCCAAGTCTGAGATGCAAAAACACTGTGGTGACAATATATATCCCCAAAAGGATGGAAATGAGTTCTGACATAAGCAAAGCTATGTCAAAACTGTCCATACTGTTTCCTGCACGACTTTAAAATTTAGACTTCTTAAACCAAAACACTACTTTATACTGCTTCACCACACTGAACCTTCACTGTTGTTAAAGGCCAAACACAGATCATCTCTTTTTTCTTCATTTCTGCTGTGTCATTGTGAAATGGTTGCTTGCTGATTTTTTTTCCTGTACCATTTGTAGGATTGGAAGCCTACTGCATACAATGATCCCTAGTACCATTCCTCCTGTGTGTAGTATCGGTGGCTTGTTTTAACTGTTCTTCTTGTGCCACTTTTGAGGAGTGATGTCTTACCCCAATCTAACCAAAGTTTTGTTCCACAAAGATCACTTTTACTTTAGCATTATTTTCATTCCCAAATTCTCAGAAAGAGGGCAGTGCATCTGATTCCAAACCATGAGGTCAGTCACATGACAAGAGGTTACGTTTCCAGTTCCAGTAGGCTAGCTTGTAGAGAAAAAAAGTAATGCAAATAATGTTCAAACATAATTTTTTGTGTTGTTTTAGGAAGAGAAGTGTGGATATGTTCTACCGATTGGGTATTGCTATCTACAGGAACCTTTTCTTTTCCAGTTTTCTGAAGTATAGTGCCACAACGCGGCCTGCCCTGTGTTCTAACATGTAGATGTTCTACTTTTTGATTGTTTATTTTTCTTTACTGTCAATTGCATTGGCCTAGCCTTTGAATTATGTAATTCTGTGTCTATCATAATTCAGGATTCTGGATGCTACTTGTCCTTCAAAGTCTCTTAAGTTTTTGAGTTTGTCAACTGCAGTATGTACAGTGATGACATTATGCCAAATTCCAGAATTGTAAGAGGCATCACTCATCATTACCAGAAGTCATCAAAAAGGTTACCAGTTGCTATAATCAGTTTGGAAGTTTGATTTCAAATGACATTGTGCTTCAGTAGCCGTTTTGATTGTTGACCATCTTTCTTCCCGGTCCCACAAAGCCTATTCCGGTATTTTTCCAAGTCACTTTTTTCTGATGCCTGATAAATTCCAGTTACCAACTCTAATTTTTTTCTCCCTTAATTGTTCCAGGGCTCCATATCTAAGCATACGGAAAGACTGAAATTATTAGGTTTGCGAATAGCAGCTGTCCCAGCATAAGAAACTTGTTCGGAAGGTGGGATAGGCTTTTGTGGGCCTAGGAAGGGAGGATTTTAGTGATCACACCATTTCTAACAAAAGTTCAGTGATGGTTCTTACTTTTTCTGAACTTCACCTTCAGTTACTGCAAGACTGCAAATTTTACTGTGTCTCACTGTGTGTGGTACATTTCAGTCCATGAGAGATTACAAATAGCAATCATACCAGGTTTTGTGGTGAAAGCTGGGAGTTCTTACATACTGGAGTTGGTGTCACCCTTGTACAAAATGCAGTTTATGAGCTCCTTTGTGTGTTGCTGGGCTCCAGAAATACATAGTTGCTTTGCTGATAATGCGTACTGATTGAGCATTTGTCACCCTCATAAGAAAGTACTTAATTAAAAACTTCCTTTTTTTGCATCTCAAAGTGTAGACAAAAAAAACCCTAGCTATCTCAATGATACTCCATTGGATCTCCAACAAAACAAAAAATTCTTAACAAATTTGATAGGCATTGCTTTGTCCTAAAATAAGGGTGTTATTGATTAAATTACTAAGAAATTGAGACTACCATACTTGACATTTATGTCAATTATGCTGCACAATGTATGTTGACACTTTGACTGAATAACAGAAGTTGGCCCTTTTATAAGGAAGGACATCAAAAGTACCATTTTGTACATCTGTGCATTTTTATTTTAAGCCTTTTTTGGTCTCAGGAATTCAATAGAAAACGTTTTAAAGTGTTTTATTCTCTCTCTGTCTGTATTGATTGGATTTTGCAGCATTTGTTTATTTCAATAAGCCCATCTGTCCCTGAAAAATGTACAGCTGTACACCAAAGCATGCAGGGCAGACATGCCGGTAATGATTTTTGTATCCCTATCTTCTTCCCCCTCTCCTATTACTAATTCTAAGCAGGTACAATATCAATATTGTGCTTTGGCGAGGAATAAACTCATGCATAAAAGTTCACAAACAGAATCATCGCAAAGTCATTAACACTGATTGTGAAACCCAGGAATTCACCTCAGAATGCATCTTCTGTTTACTTGGATAACTCAAGAATTACAAATTGTAGAAGAAAAAGTATTTTACCTAAAGACGTATAAATGAACAAAGGCTAGGAAAACTACTGCTGTTTTTGAGAATATTAACCCCCTCCCACTCCCTCATAAGGTTTTGGAATTGTTCCCTGAAGAAACACTAGATCAGCTCAGCCAATACCATTCTCTCAAAATAATCATCTGTAATTTTGTTAAATGAAACTGAAAATCCAAAACTTCATATGAAACACACAAATACATTCTTAAGGATAATACTGAAAACGTAATAGCTGTGCAAATAGTTTTGATACACTTCCTTGGTATCAGCAACTACTGTTACACAGATTGGTACATCTGTCATTTTCCGGGTCATTTTATGAAACTAAGGGAGCTTACTTCAAAGTCTCCTGATTATATGAAATAGATTTTATTGCAAATAATTATTGGAAAGCTATTTGCTAGCTGGACTTCAGCTATATGATTTCCTGTTACATGCTCCTTAAAACTTCCTTTGGGAAAAATTGCAATAGTAATATAACTCTGTTAATCGGGTTCGTTTTGTATTTTCCATATACCGTGTGGTGGGATGCATATTTGTTTACACATTTAGTATGACTGTCCTTGCGTACTAGCTTGCTGTTTCGAGCTTAATCGATGATGCTGGAGAATATCTGAATGAGCTAAATGTTAATTTTCTCTTCTCTTTTCCTCTTGCTTACTGTGCTTTTGCTTCTTTTTTTCTAGATGTTTTTGCTTATTCCTTCTAGTGTGATTTTACAGTTATAGACTAAGAAGTGGCAAAAGTTCTCAAGATTAACATTCAGGAAAACAAATAAAATAAAACCTAAGGAGAGCAAAAGGATGCAAGCAGATTTCTTTACAAGAAAGAGAAGCAGAGGGGTGTCTGGGGCAAAGCTGGGAGAAGGTTTAATAAGCACACATACAAATCTGTATAAATAATATCCTGCATTTTGCACTTATAATTAATCAATATAATATGTATATGTGCACTCGCACATATATGATAATTATATATCAGTGTGGCACTTAAAAAACAACTTGACAGCATTATACTTTGAAAAGAAGAAGAATATATATAGCATGCATTAGTAAAGTCATTTATTATTTATTCAGGTTCACTAAGTGAAACTACATGCCAACATATCTGTATTGCCTCCTTAATCTACTAGAATGATTGATCCATGTTCACTTGTGTAACCGTAGAATCTCTCTCCTGCTAGGTTTTCCTGTTGTCTGTTTCTCTTTATCCAATATAGTGCAGTTCTTATTCTCCCTATATTTAGCGTCTGTTACTAATTTAATCTTTAGATTAATAGTCAATTTATGTTAATCTTCTTTCTTTTTTCCTTGCACTTTTTTATTTTTCTTCCGATGCTTAAAATAGAAGTGGAGCAAAAAGGTAAATAACGTATACAGTCCAAACCCCAGCTCCTTGTTATGTGCCTTATGGATGTTAACCTCTTCCCTTCCCCTTCCCACAACACTCTTATATTATGATAATCAGCAGGATCTCATAAGTACACCTCATAAAGAAGTCGACTGTTTGCAATAAAGTGACTTGGCTGCTTGAAGTAGGTGGCGGGGTATAGTGTCTGAAATACTTGGGCTGGAGGGAAGACTCCCTTGCTTTTTTTCTCTCCCTTTCTCTTTGTCTCTTTTTCCCTCTCTTTCTCTCACCCTTGGGTAAATTCTTGTTAATCAAGTGTCATCTTGCCTGGCTTCCAGAACCCTCTCCATAGCATGCCATGGTTACAGGGTTTCCTGGTCTGTTTCATTCATTGCTTTGGTTGTGTTTTGTTTTCTCTGCTCCTAATTGCTTTCTCTATATACCTGATGATTTGTTTTGTTCCTTTATTTTTAATCGAGGCACCTCCTTTTTCAGCCTCACCACTTCTTAAAGTTCTAAACAAGTTGATGTGATTTTTTTTTGGACTGAAATGACCTAGCGCACTGCTGCACACCAGTTAAAAGCTCTGGAACGTTAATGCGTACTCACTAAAAGTCTAAGATGAAAATGCAGGAGTAACTCTACATTTTCAGCTGTCTGTGTATGCCATTGAGCCTTGGTCTGTACTAGTGAAAACAGTTCCCATCCACTTTCCATACTGGTACAGCAAGAACATGGTAACTTTAAGAAAAGTGGATGATAAAGGGTGATACTTGCATTAATTATAACATAAGGTATAAGCTAGTGCCAATTAAATCAATTTTTTTTCTTCCTGACACAGTCATTATGATTTACCTACCTTTTTTTTTCCTTATTTTTTTTCCATTTACTATGAGAAAGTCTTAATTTGACGTAATTCTTGTCTTACTTCTTTCTGTGACTGTTAGTTTTTGTTTGCCCGGGGACGTTGAAAGCAATTGTGGACTCACCGTATTTATATGAAGCTGAACAAAAAGCAGGTGCTTGGTGCAAAGATCCTCTCCAGGCTGCAGATAAAATATACTTCATGCCATGGACTCCGTATCGCACCGATACTTTGATAGAATATGCTTCTTTAGAGGACTTCCAAAATGGACGCCAGCAGACGACATATAAATTGCCAAATAGAGTGGATGGCACTGGATTTGTAGTGTACGATGGCGCTGTCTTTTTTAACAAGGAAAGAACTAGGAACATAGTAAAATTTGATTTGAGGACTAGAATTAAGAGTGGAGAGGCCATAATCAATTATGCTAATTACCATGACACCTCTCCATACCGATGGGGGGGAAAGACTGACATTGACTTGGCAGTTGATGAAAATGGCTTGTGGGTAATTTATGCTACGGAGCAAAACAATGGGATGATAGTAATTAGCCAGCTGAATCCCTACACCCTGCGTTTTGAAGCCACCTGGGAAACGACATATGACAAGCGGGGAGCATCCAATGCTTTCATGATATGTGGTGTCCTGTACGTAGTGCGGTCAGTGTATCAGGACAATGAGAGTGAGACCGGCAAGAATGCCGTCGATTACATCTACAATACCCGGTTAAGCAGAGGCGAGCATGTGGACATTCCTTTCCCCAACCAGTACCAGTACATCGCTGCAGTGGATTACAACCCCAGAGACAACCAGCTGTACGTGTGGAATAACAACTTCATTCTGCGATATTCTTTGGAGTTTGGCCCACCTGATCCTGCCCAAGGTAAGAATTTGGGTTTCCCATTTTTAATCTCTTTGTACTTCCATTCACATAATTTGTTATGATATTTTTTGGTTTAGACTTAGCTGTTGTCAGAAAGGCAGGGAAGAGTTGTTTGTCTGCACTGTACAGAATTACAGTGGTGCAAGGAAAATTTGCAGAACCTGTGAAGAGAGATAGAATTTCTTTATTTGGTTTATGGGTTTGTGCTTTTCTTTCTTTCATTTTTTTTTTTTTTTAATACAACTGTTCAGCTTTTCTGTATTTAAGAGCAAGTTGAGGAATTGTTTATTTACTGTGTACTATCAGTCAGTCTGACTTCTATAGCTAAACTAAGTTTGAGTTCATTCATGCTGAGCCAGAAGCCTGTTCCCATTTGTTCAGTGTTACCTGACTTCTGAATTGATTACAACATACATGCAGACCTTTTAACTTCTTGGCGCCAGCAGCTAAGAGCCATGTATGCTAGGAGGTCCCGGAGGAGATGTCGGGGGTTAATGTGCAATACCAAGCATAAATATTTTTCTGCAGCCCTATTTTAGTTTCTAATGCCAGGTTAGACTAGATTATCCAACATTTTAGCAGGTTTCCGTGTAAGTCCATTACAATTGCAGTTCAGCTCACTTGAAGTTAGAACAACTTAGCTAAAAGAAAAGACACTAACTGCCAAGAGGGGGAATAAACAGAGCTTCTGAGGGCTCAGAAATCCCTAAAAATGGCATGAACAGGCACAGCCACATATTAACGTCTGCAGAGGAGAGTAAATACCAAGATAAATGCTCCGTGGCAGAAGATGCATACAGCAAGGAACAGAATGTTGATAAGCTCCTTTAGCAATGAAGGTAATACTTCACTTCTCTCATCTAACTGGTATGCATGTTTAGCAGCTGCTTTTTCTACTTCAAAAATGTAGTAATAATGGCTTCTCCACATGAAAGGCAGCTATCCTGCTTCAGTGAAGCTGATTCAGGCACAGCAGTGCAAACTAAGTAGTGTGCACACAATTATATCAACATACATATAGCTTTTCCAGGTAAAGAAGTACGCAATACACAGCAGAACAAGGCAGTTTAGAACTGATACTTGAGTGATCTCCAGAGCCAAGTGATCTGTCTCTGGCAGTCCGTGGCCAGGCTGAGGCAGTTTTCTGGTGTCTGGGGACTGAGCTCTGGCTGCAAGGGCAGCCGTCCTGGCAAGCCCTCCTGTATATCAAGCTAGTCCATTCCTCAGGGAGGCTTTGGGGCTGCTCTTAGCAGAGACATACCCACCTATGTAATTAGGAAAAATTTAAGGCTTTCATTTTCATACATTCTCATGCATGATGTCACTTTTAATTCGGTTTAACTGAGATGAAGATGCATTTTAAATTCTCCAAAGCTTTAATAGTGAGAGGGAAAATGGAGGTGCAGGCTCTAAGGAGCTTTCTGAGTTCAGGCAGCTGCCATGAATGTGGCAAAACCTAATCTTTAAATCAGTGCATTGAAGAAAAAGTGTTAAGGAAGGGCAGGGAGGGAAGAAAAGGCCTTATGGAATTCTTCCTTTGCTTTAGTAAATCATCAAAGGTCTCAAGTAAGACATTTCGTAATGTTTTATTATGAGAGTCTCCAAGATCCTGAGTTTCAGTGCATGTGCTGGCCACATCCCATCTAATACCAGAAAGAGATCTGAGTGTTCACCAGCACCCCTTAATGTTCCTGGTTTCCTTACTGGCATGTAAGGAAGGGGAAGAAATGGTTTATTCTAACCAGACGTAGGCAAGAAGGGTTCCAAGGGCACACCACAGGGTGCTTGCCTCTCGTCTGAGCTCTTTGCCCATTCATCCGTGAATGCAGAGGAGTGTATTTTGAGTGATTTGTGAGTTTGAGTTTTAACTGCATTATGACATAAGTAAATATAGTTTGATTATGGCCTTTTCAAAATATAGAAACCATATGAAGGCACTAGGTTTATTTGAATGTGTAATGCATATATTCACAAACAGTATTTTTCCTTATATAAAGCCAAGACCCATTATTTTAATTTTGTATGGATCTGTACATAGCAGATCTAAGAATACGTTTCAGTTCATTTCCTCTTTTGCCTAAGCCAATTGCCTGTAGTTAAAGACTACTAAATTAAAGGAAAAGTTATCTAATATGATTGTCCTTGAGATGTACTGCTGTAGAAACAAGAAAAGATTCTAGTTTTTTTATTTGTATTATATTCTCAGTTACTCTTTGTTTCAGCATGAAGTCAGTATAAAAAATCATTCCTTCTCTTGTAACACAGGTAAAGGATCTATATATATAATACGCATTTGGATTTTTTTATTTCATATGGAAATAGACCAGATTTTCAGCACATTTGATGAAGGGCGGTTTTGTGTTTCTTTTGTTATGGTTTGGTTTGAGTTTTTTTGTTGTTGACTCACATTACTTAATAATCTACTCAAAAGACATAGGATAATATTCTATAACTCACCTACCCAAGAACCTTCTTTTAGTGTCTTTTGCAGTGGTACTTTAATATCAAGTATTTAATGGTGTCACAAGGTCAGTGCCTCAAAATTGGAAGTCGTGGCCTTTTCTGTTCAAATGGTTAACTTGGGGCCATTGTGGGAAACTCGGCAATCTGTGTTCCCTCTGTTGCCGTGGGAGCAATAATGATATATAGACACACACTGATTCTTTTTTTTTCCTCATCTATCTGTCTCGGCTATCAGTTCTTGTCTACACCATAATGTTCAACTACTGAGTGCTTCAAAACCAAGTCTTTCTTCCTACATGAAAGATGGATTTGTCACATTAGACTCACGCTTTTGAGCTCAAGGGTTTGCATTTGCTCCCAGGGCCAAAATCTCAGACTCATCCGTGACCCCAAACTTGCCTTTTTCTTTCTGTTGTTTCTGTCATTTTTAAATCTGCTTATTGAAACCTCTGAAATACCACTGTAATTAACCTGATGTTGGCCTTGCCCTTGCTGCAAACCTACACCATTTTCTCCTCTTAAAACTGTCCATATTATGTGCTCGCTGTACCCTTATTTTCTTAAATCTTCAGGAGAACTGTTCAGACTTCTAGCAGATGCAGCAGCCAGGCTACTGTTTTACCTTGACAGTGCAGTCTGCTGCTCTTAGAACCTCCCTTCACCTCCTTCTCATGTGTCTTTTTTTCTTCTCTTCCCATGGAAATTATAATGCATAGATGTAGCATAGAACATTTAGGTTGGAAAAGGCCCTTAAGATCATCAAGTCCAGCTGTAAACCCAAAACTGCCAAGTCCACAGCTAAACCATGTCCCTGTGCACCGTCTACACATCTGATGCTGAGGAAACGCTGCAGTTTTCTGAGGGGTCCTCCTGTTTCTGCAGTGCTTGTGTCTCCTGGCATTTGCAGCATGTCTGCCAAGACAGTGCAACATGTTAAACATTCAGCCTCTTCTACACCTCAGTCTACATCTGAGTCTACATAGATGCAGAAATGGTTTCCAGAGCTATGGCTGACAAGTACCACTCAGATATTGCAGGAGAGCACATTTTCTGAGGTTAAGCTTAAAAATTACATTTAGCAATGAAAACCATAATTTGGAAACAAAATAAAATATATCAGGTCCCTGCAAAAAGCCACTATGAAAAAATTGAAACAAACCAGAGTTTTTATATCCTTGGTAAATTTAGTGGGTATGTCCTGTTTCATTCATTCAGGGACCAAATGAATTCTCACTGAAACAGGAAGTTTTAAAAGATTTTTAAGTTAAAAGACCAGGAAGAATGAAGGGAATTTTCCCCCTAGAAAGTGAATATGAGCATTACATTGTAGGGTTTCCTTGGTAACAAGAAGAAGATAAATCCTTTTGTTCTGTGTTAGTGCGTTAGGGAGAGATTTCATCTACACTCATCCCAATTTGTGCTAACTGTGCAAACTGTTCAAACTAAAGTTGCCTCCCCTTTTGTACCATGATACCCATCATTAAGTTTTATTGGATCACTGCAGGAAAATACGGATGTTGTGAGTGTGGACAGAACAGAAACTCAGAAAGTACTATCACTAAGGGCTTGAAATAATAGGAGACTAGTACAACTAAATCTTTATAATACCAAGAATCTACAATGAAGTCATGCAGCAAATTGTTAAGTAAATTAGATCGTTACTGTTATATTGAATCTGATACACTACAGGTTGATTAAAGAGTGGCTGTACAAGTATGGACAACATAATAGGGACCAGATAGCACATTTCTTGATCATTGGTATTTTGCTAATTTTGTGGCGTACTTGTTATCATTTTCAGGGTATATATGTATGAATGGCTATGTAAACATTTCACTGTCAGCTAAATGGGATTTGGCAGGGTCAATAGAGTACTGGCTAGCATAATAGCTGGAACCTATGGATAATTACGTGAGTCTTAGTGACTTCCCTGCTATTCACTGAAGCATGAAAACAGGCACACAGTGGTAATATGGCAGGGAAATCTGGATTTGCCCTGGTTTCAGATCTGCATTGCTTTACATGGCAGCTCAGTGTATGACACCTTTTGAAAGCAAAAGTGGGCACATAGATATTTACATGTCCAAATGCATCGAAATACCTGTCCTATAAGAGTATACATTTAACGAAAAAATACATGCAGCTGATATCTACAGTTACCTATATGCTGGAGATGAAAATAGAAGTATTGGTATTTTCAGAAGCAGTGCATCATCTGGGCATTTCAAGACAATTTTAAATTTAAGGTTAGAGTTGTATTTTGGGTGGGGATTTTTTTGACTTGGTTTCATTTTTTAAAAAATGTATTTTATGCCTGCTTAGAATAGAAACCTGTTGGCAAAGAATACTAGATAGCTTGTGTGCCTCCTCTAAATCTGCTTTTCACTGTCAGTTGGGGAAACAAAGTTACTGTTCCCCTGCTGTCCTAGGCAATTGTGTTATGTTTTTTATAGACATCACACTGTTAAACAGGTGTTAAGTTTTACTCCAGTGGTGTCTTCGTTTTTAGAAACTGATAGTACGTGTAACTGTTTACATCAGCTGTTGGTAACTGCATGAAACAAATGTAAATTAATTACCCCCAACTTGGGTCTGTGGATTTACTTCCTATTGCTCTTTTTTTTTATTTATATATATTTTATTTCACAAAGACAGCCTTCAGCTGATAATGAGACACACCTATTCTTAAAAAAGAGGTTTGGGGGTTCTCCTCAGCATGTCAAGCTTAGCCAAAAAGTCTAAAATAGAATCGCACATTGTAAAAGTGGCTTTTTTGGTTTTGGACAAAAAGTACGTATTTTCAGCCTTGTAGAGAGGCTCGGTCCTGCTGCTTGGAACAATAGGATAATAACCTCGACATGGAGTTTGTTCTTCTTCTTAGTTGTGGCATATTAATCAGCACTGTCATTATCTTATATTGGCAAAGTGCTCTGCAAGACCTTGCATGTGAGCCTGCAGATGCCATCACCCTCAGCTTTCAGAACATTACACATCATGTGGTGGTGGCAGCTATCATGTGTCTTCTTGCAGCTCAGGAGAATGGCCTTGCAGATCATGTTCTCCAACAGGTCATTAAAAACAAAATGATCTGCCTTCTAAAAGGTGGATGTATTCCTTAAAGTGATGTGTTTGGTTGTTTCTTATTTTCTCAGATATTCCCAAGTTTCCATCACTGTCTGGAATTTTCTGGTATATTCTTAAATACACTGACTTCTTCTTCTTAAAGATCTAACTCAAGATAAAATCTCATAGAGATTGCTTGTATTTTTTTCAGTTTTGTAAGAGGTGGTTTTGAAGTCTTTCTTCTAAAACGTTAGATTAAAAATCTATTTCTAAAGTATGTCCTACTATGTAGGTCATTTTTGAATCATAGGTGGTATGCTTTGAAACTGATTTTAATGGATAACATTCAAATTGTTCTACCTGAAGTAGTGAGAGCAGAATATTTTAGCTCAGGGTGCAGCACAAAACATGTTCTGAAAATTGTTACTGAACTTAAGAGAGTTATTATGAATTCTTATGGTGATATTTTGCTCCTGAGACAAAGCTATCCTAAACATTATAGGTTTTGAGTAGTAATTGCAATAATGCTAATACACATTCCAGTGATTAAATATGTACTAATTAGCACAATGTGTTAGGGGATAGATAGTAATAATTGGTTGTCCCCTGCATCATTCTCTGTGCCCACCAGTTCTCCCTTCCCCAGGACCTGATTCAGCAGGCGTTGCCTGACACTTCTGCAAGTGATTGCAAATGCTTTTGACAAATGTTAATTGGGAAAGCACTAGAAAGCTGGATGCATTGTAATCAAAAGAAAATTACAGCAGTTTCACAAGATGTCAGGCAAGTACTTGCAGAACAGATCTGCAATAGGTTTCATAGTAGCTGGCTACACCACGAATTCAGCACAATTACACAGACGGTATTCAGCCAAGAATGAGACTGAAGACAGCGCTGAAGAAGTTCCTCATTTGTGAGCAAGAGAGGGATGAAAAGCACATCTTTGCATTGTGATGTTCAAAAACTCCATTCTGAATTCATGTGAAAATAAGATAAATTCATATTTGAGAATCCTAATATAACTGGAATATAATTGAAAACGGATTCTGAAATAATTGTGATCTGACGAACTACTGAAAGTCAGTCTTACTCAAAACACTAACTTAAAAAATATCTGCCAAAAGAAAGTGAGGCAGCTCTTTGTTTTTCATTTATGATTTAACATACAGAAGATGTGTTGTCCAGTAAGTCAGAGTTCAAGGGCCTAGCAGAAGACAAAAAGAAAGAAAAAAGCCAGTCTATCCATTGTTGTTAATCTTAAATTAGTTGCATTTATTCTTGTATCAGTTAGGATTTAAAAATACATGGTATTAGCTTATTTATTCTCAGCACAAGGATCTGCGCTTTTATTGTAAAGCACTGTGAACACTAATTAAGATTTGGAAATAATTAATGATAACTGTTCCAGTTACTTTGCTCACTTGCATTATTTCAGCCATTGCTCAATGCACAGTTGAAGGTGATGAACATGAATTCCAGGCTGTGTTCTCCACTAGCATTAACTGGTATTATCCAAAGCCTCAAAACCTTGTCAGAGCTCGGGCTGTACCTCAGCAGCTCCAGTGATGCGTTCCTGACGTGGGTCAGTGGAGTGAGCAGCTGTGAGTCCCAGGCAGAAGTGACTTGGCCTAAGCCGATCCTAGTGTTTCATAAAAGATTAAACTAAGTACTTGCCACTGGCTTGAATGAGTTGCGTCTTCATACCTGCTTTATCAAAAAGGGATGTTAAGGCCTGAAGTGTTCGAACATGAGAACACCTCGTACATGCTAGGTGCCGCTTCTGTTTGGAGCTAATCGGGCATGCTGCAACTCTCTCAAGCAGAATGACTGCTGGGTAGGAAGATGTTATCGTAATTATTTTCCTGGAAGGTGTGTACTGGGTGACTTGAAGTTTTGGGGTCTATTTTTTTTAATGGTCTCGTTAGTTACAGCCCACTGCCTTTGTTGTTAAAGCTGGACTGCACTGTTTACGGCACGCTGATTCAAATCATTCTGTCTATTGAGTTACTCCTTCTGCAAAAGTGATTAAGAAATCTTTAATTGCTTTGAGCGTGTTTGTTATGTACTGATAACTCACTAGGCCTTTCAGCCTTTAGAAATGTAACTATCAATTTTTATTGCAGGAGAGATTATTTTGAGAATGTGCTGAAACATCATTCTGGTATGAGCTGGGAGTAAAAAAAAATATCAGTCAAGGTTATATCTTAGGCACCCAGACTAGCAGTAAGAGTAATATTAAGATAAAGGAAAGGAGACACCAGAGAATCTTGTAAAACTGCATAAATAACACTTAAAGAGCTTTTTAATATATAAATTTGAAGTCATTTACTTTATTATTACTCTAATTTTCTCTGTGCAGTGCCTACCACAGCAGTGACAATAACCTCTTCAGCAGAGCTATACAAAACCACAGTGTCAACCACTAGCACTACATCACAGAAAGGTCCCATAAGCACAACATTAGCTGGAGGAGCAAAGGAAGGAAGCAGAGGACCCAAGCCACCGCCACCCATTTCCACAACCAAAATTCCTCCCGTGACAAGTTTTTTCCCTTTGCCAGAGAGATTCTGTGATCCGACTGAGGCCAGGGGGATTAGCTGGCCTCAGACACAAAGAGGAATGATGGTTGAACGCCCTTGCCCCAAAGGAACACGAGGTATTGCCTTTAAAAATATATCTTGATCTCAGGCAGACATTTCAAAAGCAATGTGCTGCTCTCTTATGGTTAATTGTTTTTTTAATCTCAAGCTGCCTGTCACACAATTTTTTTATTACTTGGAGAATGCGGTATCTGCAGGCAATGGTCAAGTTTTAATCTGCAAATGGCATTTGAGCGTAACTGCAGAATTACCTTGTGCATGTGCTTTTGAGAATCCAGGTCAAATTTTAGGGCTTTGCTTGAGGACTGTTGTGAAATAATGCTTACAGCTGCCTTTCTCATTATGAGCTCTCCTCTGGATGAGCTCCAGGAAAAATCAAGGGCTTTTTGTTTGTTTGCAGAAAACGTCTGGTACTTTTCACTGACTTTTTTATTGCTGTTTGTAATCTGCATTATTTCCTTACGTTTTTGTCAATTACTGTCAGCTACTGCCATTAGCGGCATTCAGAATTTAACATTGCTTAGGCCAGTGTAGCTGATTTCCTGAATGTGTGCAGAAAAATGGTTTCCATTTCACTGTCGTTTTCTATATATGTTGTAGGAACTGCCTCCTATCTCTGCGTGGTCTTAACTGGAATGTGGAACCCCAAAGGCCCTGATCTAAGCAACTGCACCTCACACTGGGTAAATCAGCTGGCTCAGAAGGTTGGTTGAAACCTTTTAATCTGCTGTACACTGGTGATTAAGGATCTTAACTCTGAGCATTAATAATTCAGTTTGTTGAAGCCCTCTTTGTTATTCTGTGCTCATCTAAAGTAGACAGTTATGTGTACTTTGTGTGCATATGTGTGTTTTGGTACAGTCTCTCTCTTAAATTCTTGTATTGAATCTGTAGTTACATGTTTTTATCGCTATTTAAAGCAAAGTAGCTTTGCTGGTGTTCAAAGAAAAAAAGCTGTGTTTGCTTAATAAATCAAATATAAATCATGCAGCAAAAAAACATGGTATACAGAAAGGGTTTTGGTTTAGTAAAAATTATACTGTAATAAATAGTTTTTTTTTCTGAGTGAATTAATAACAGTATGATTAGAGCACAGAACCATTTTCTGTGTTTTTCTTCCCTACTGAGATGTACTAAGTTTACGAAAACTGGATAATTTGTTGTCAGTACCAGGCTACTTGACTTTGAAATGCCTCAAGCACTAGTACGAACAAATAGATTTCTTACTGTCTGATAATGGCAGTAAAATAAAAGTGAGGATGAATAGAATATCTAGCCCGAAAGTCCCAGTCTGATTTCTGGTTTTGATGGCTGTTAAGAACTGCTTTTGTGTGTCACGGATCTAAGAACCTTTAATCTTCTGAGATAAAGAGAACATTATTGGTCTCAATTAGTTACAGATTTCAATGTATGTGCAAATGGTTATTTCACCACAACAAAGGTACATGGGGAATTGGAATTAGGAGCCGCAAGCAGAACAAGGGACCCTGCTGAGATAATATAAACTTGTCATTTCAGATCAGAAGTGGAGAAAATGCGGCTAGTCTGGCCAATGAACTGGCTAAACACACCAAAGGACCTGTCTTTGCTGGTGATGTTAGTTCATCAGTGAGGCTGATGGAGCAGCTTGTGGACATTTTGGATGCTCAGCTGCAGGAACTGCGGCCCAGTGAAAAAGACTCTGCTGGAAGGAGTTATAACAAGGTACACACCTCCTGTCACCTCCCCCTGCTGAGATAACCATTGCCCTTGGTTTCTTTATTTTTTTCCTTGCAGAATTACTAATCTATACTTTGTTTCACATGCTTATAGTACTGGAATAAACATGTAAGAGAAAACAGCAGTAAATACGCAGCGGAAAGTTGCAATTACCTTCTTTAGGGAATGCGATATAATTTACAATAGCTGCCTGGTCCTAAAATACATAGCTGTGTCTCTTATTAAAATCTGGAACACATTATAACTAGTGTGAGGAAATGGGCATTAGCTCTCAGAAATTCTGTAACAAATCAGCATGTTTATCCAGTGATCCTTTTAACCCTGAACATGTAATAAAATCAGTGGGATTCTGCATAGGTGCAGGGTTTTATTTTAATCCAACTTCCTGCAGAATAATAGCACTTTTTTAGCCTTTTAAAGACGCCAACATCACTTACAGTCGATCTTATAAAAATACGTTAAAGTGTGTATCTAAAACACAAATAAGTTTTCTCAGGAATGATGCTCAGAGAAACGTTTCAGAGAAAACTCATGTCTTTGTGGTTTAAATACAGATCACAAGTGTTATTGCCATTCCTCTTTTTCTCAGAGGAAATGCTGTATTTCTTGGCCTCTTCCTTGCATCAGCTTATTCAACAAGCTACAAACAAAATGTTTTTTCAGCCTTCTTTAGAGATCTCCATGTTCTCCTCTGTTATTTTGGCAATAGTTTCATTTACAGTCCCTAGCTGCCGTTAGAAGAGTTTTCCTAGAGACAGATCAAATGTCCACACAAGAACATTCTCCTCTGACCTTTTCACACAAATGGCACCTCTTGGGCAAAGATACTTGGGCACCTGTGTAAAGGCTGGGGAAAAACGCTGCCTATGCAATAGTTTTTTATAGTCATTTCTGGACAGAAGCAAGATCAATGTCCAGGCTGTAGTTCAGGTTTTGAAGCACCAGACTTAATTTCTTGATATTTTTGAGCTTTACAGAACTTGTCTAACTTCTCATTTTCTCTTTTTTACTAAAAAGCTCCAAAAACGTGAGAAGACATGCAGGGCTTACCTTAAGGTATCTCTCCTGTGCTGTCACCCTGCTTTCTCCCTGCTTCAGCAACCTGCCACGCTTTATCATCTTGCTGCATGATCCTATGTATTTCAGTCTTTGATAAATGTGTATTGTGCCCCATATCAACTGTACAAATGTTGGCTTTGCACAGGTATAACACTCAAAAAAAAATTAAAAATCAAAGTTTATACCTCTTTTACCTCAACTTGTTCAAATCTTAAAAGAGCAGAAATGGTTATCTGAATTGGAAGTAACATCTCTCTCATAATACAACTTTGGGTAGGGGAAAAAGCTAGCAACTTAACAGAAATTACTTCAGCTTGTATAGTATTTTATATCAAAGACTGTTAAGAGTTAATTTGCTTGCATGAAAAATGTACATTATACAGTCTGCTTTGTTCTTTGTGTATTTTTATATGTTGTGACATCACTCTTTCTTACAGTTTTAAGAGTTGTTAAAAAAGCCAGATTCAGTGACTTCAGGATAAAATGTAAAGACAAACATTTCTCTAACTTTACTAGTAAAATGTGTGACACTTGTCCCATTAACCAGGTTATATGGAAGGCATGTAACACATTGCTAACTTATTTTCAGTTTCTTTCATCTGCTGTAGAATGGTGGTAGTCTGCATTGGCCAGCTTCTGCTCTACGATACAAAGCCAGTAACACTACCTTGCACCTCTAAGAAGAGAAAAAGTCCTAGAACAAATCATGTCTGTCTGAAAAATTTTATTGCACATCTTTTCAAAGTTTCTTTTAAAACTACTGATTTTTACTTGTACCCTCTGAGATAAAATGTAAATGATTTTTGAAAAGAATTTTGAAATACTTTGCAACATAATAAAATAATTCAGACTCTTAGTTAAGAGACATTTCTCTGTACAGGGCACTTTGGCTTTTATCCTGCATCCCTCAAAGTGGATGGGAGATGTCCGGTTATGCAAAAATTTGCCAAAAAGAGACAAAGACCTGGAAAGAAAATCACTCCTCAAATAGTAATAATAGTCATGGCTTTTTATTAGAAAATACTTTTAATAGTAAAGGGAAATCTAGCAGATACGGTTTGAGTAGGCTTGGGTTTTCATGCTTCATTTTTAAGAGAAAACATGAACTTGAGCACTCCAACAGCTGTGTGATCTTCCCACTGCACACTCGCCTCTGTCTGAAAGAACACCTCAGAAATACTGGGCAGGAGATAATTTTCAACAGGAAAAATGCAGAGCTAGATTATCCCATAATAAATAAAAAGCATTTCATATTAACAAATACATACTGTCAGTGCTATATGTAGATACACAAGGAACCATAGCACAACCTTAATTTCCAGCCAGTGTCATTTTTTGTAGGTCTCAAATGGGTTTCTCTACTTAGATAAGACTAATAAACCTCTTGAAATTACAAATCAAAAGCTGACTTACACTATGCAAATGAAGCAAGTTCCCACTTTGTGACAGAGGATTCATTTGTACCTCAGATTAGAGGCTCCAATCTGTATTTCTTGGTGACTAATGAATCTGGCCTCTGCAGACCAATTTCTGTTCTACTCTAGTTAATGGCTGCAGCAGTATCAGTGTGAGCATTTTGACTATTCTGTCTTCCATTAGAGAAAGAAAAAAGGCTTTAATGCCACTTCGAACTATCTTCCACCTGGCAGGAAGGTCGTGGTGGCTCACAATACAGACAGAAAGAGGATATTAAAATGGATTGGGTTAATTAATGTTGCTCTGACAATAGCCTTGACCAACTTTTCCTGTTCGTTTATTTGCACAGTATAGTATTAGAGACGGACATCTTTCTGTTTGTACAGTGTGTTCTGTTTCCATTCCCATTGCTTTTAAATTGATCAAACAAATTATATATGTGCTTAATGACACATTATGACTAGGTAAATGGGACAGAGTAAACAGGGTGTTTCAGCAATGCATGGTGTACTCAATGCACAGCATACTCAATGCACAGATACATTATGCATTAATGTAAGAGCCTGCCTTCAATTGATTAACTGATTACTCTGGATTATTTTGTAAAAATAATGTAATCATGTCATGGAATTCTTCTTCTTCCTTATTTACTGTTACTTTATATGCAGCTTAATGAGCCTTAAAACATGGTCATAGACTTGTAACAAGAAAGACTTTTTAAAATGGCAGGTTTATTCAGTTTTACAGTTTTGCCTTCACTGATAACAGGCACAGCCAGTGGACATCTTGTTTGCTCTATTGATTTCCTTTTTTAACTGACCTTTGTGCAGGAATGGGAGTTAGTAATCTTTTTAAGTATCTATGAACAGGTACAGGATCAGGAGGGGGAGTGGGAATAGCCCAAGCTAATTTATATCCACTGAGTCAGCTTCATTTCATGCCTTCTCTAATAAAGAAGGCAGTTTGTCATAGACAAGTAGTTTATAGTGCTGTGACTGCTAAGTTGGGCTAAGTTTCCAGAAGCGTATTATTGTCATTGCAGGCTAAACTGCAGAATGCCAATTTGGGCATTAGTATTTTTAAATAGGATTTATGCATTTTGACATTAACTTCAAGATGAAAGCTTCAGGCAAAACTTCTGGCATTTATTTTTACATTTTTCAGCACATTAATAAGACTGTCTTTTTATCTGATATGAGGCAAGTCAAATCTGCATGTTTACCACTTAGAGACCACGCAATGCTAGTGGCTAACTGCACTTACCCAGCAAGAGGATGGAAAATATTTTTACTTTGAAAATAGTCTTCTAGTGCCATTAAATCACATTAAATCATTCTGACAGTTAAGTATTATAATTGTCACCAGGTAACGTTGGAAATTTTCCCCAGCTGCCTAGGGCACTCAGACCTAATGATAGTTTTCTAATGAATGCAGGCAATTGTGGATACAGTGGACAACCTGCTCAGGCCTGAAGCTCTGGAGTCCTGGAAGGACATGAATTCTTCAGAACAAGCCCATGCAGCCACAATGCTACTTGATACATTAGAAGAAGGGGCTTTTGTCTTGGCTGATAATCTCTTAGAACCGACTAGAGTCTCAATGCCCACAGAAAATATTGGTAAGTAAATTTCTTTTCAAGCGTAAGTTAGTCTTACACATTGCTTTATGCAAAGTCAGGAAAAATACTGCAGAGAGCGACATACTCTTTGAAAGTGGAGCTGCATAATGCTTGGTGGAAAGGTAAATGATCCTAAGCGGGTGAGACACACTTTTCTTGTTTAGCTCTTCAAAATTAGCATTCTTCTTTAGTGTCATTAATACAGTATAAAAAGGAAAGTGGTTGATGTTGCAAAGTTGATTTACTACTGAAAAATCATTAGCAGAATATATGGATATGAAGAGTGCTTAAATGGCAGAGTATGGATTTTTTTGAGTTAACTGCTTTCTGTAGAGCTTCAGAAATGCTTTCCTGTTATATATAAACTGTTCCTAATGAATTTAAATTACTTTTTTGCAACGTACTCTGCCAGTTAGATATTTTAGGCACTCAGAACATAGGGCAAATGTTTATATTAAACACGACTGCCTTCAGGTAAAAATGTGTTCAGTGAACTACATCTCCCATAATGCAGAATAGCTATGCTCCAGAGACTGCAAAATAGCTGAAGATAGTTGGAGCATAATTTGGAATTTAAGTGGTGACAGAGAAATGAAGGAGTTTGGTATTAGAGATGTGCAGATACTGGTACGCAGGATGTGTTAAAGCAAAAATCATTGCTATGCATAAAATTAAAATTCCTTCATCCTGTTACAGAGATTAATGTAGTCTCAGTGAGGCACGAGGAAGCTGAACGTCTGCTAATTTCAGGGGTACTGAGATGGAGACTTGGAATAGACTGCAGAAATGAGACTTTTCACGTTTCAATGTCTGCATATTTGTAACTGTCGAAGATGATTCTGCCTAGTTTTTAATTTGAGTAGACAGGTACTGGAAAAGGATGGGGAAAGGTGTTACAGTCCGTTATCAAAGTAACTGCACCAGTTGTTTCTGAAAGAATGTGGGTAGAGTCACAGAAATCTCTCTTGGGATGTTCATGAGCAGTTCCATGGAGCTCAGTAGACTTGTCTGGATAGCACTTCTAGTGATAAGCTGTCTTGAAGTCATAGTAACACATTACTGATGCCATGCAAGACTGAATTCCCAGCGCACATACATATGTGTGGCTTAGAGAAAGAAAAAATTCCCTAATATACATTTTGTCCATCTGTAGTATAGATCTATAGTTAAACCAGGTTAATCTAATGCAGATATTTGTCAACAAATTAACCATTCTGACCTTTATGATTTTACATATCCAAGGGAATCCAGCTTTTGCTGGTAATCCCATGAAAGCTTCCCAATATACAATGTATTAGAAAGTTGGTACTTGAAGTAAGGCTGAGTGGCATCTGATTTTTCTATTTAAATATTTTTTTAGAAGAACCAAACAGTGGTTTTCTGTAAACCTGTATACCTTCCATAACCTATAAACCTTTTCACATTTAGGAAAAAAGCTATAATTTTTTTTAGATACAAATACTTAATTAGCTAAACACATGGCATAAGTATACATAGGTGTTTGTTTGCTGACTGTTTTAAAACTTTAAACCAATATTTAAAGTTTTAATTTTTTTAGCAGAGAATCCTGCATAGACATTAGGAGCATCAAAATTACCATTTCTCTGCAATGTGTGTATGTGATATTCTTAAGCAAATGTTTTGGGGGCACACACAGAAACGAAGTTTGATGTCATGTTGTCATTATTAAAATGCTTTTATTTTAATAGCATGCACTGGATTTAGTTAAAGAAACTAACTGCTTGCAGCATGTGGTACAGAACTGTCTTTACGGTGGCAAATTAGGACAGCAGTGTGAGAAAACTGAATAAAGAGTGGGGGAAATATTGTCATCTGGCATATTGCAATCTGGCCAAGACACTTTCTGTGCAGTCTCCTTTTTTACCACTTCTTTTCTTTTTTCCCTTTCCTCGGGTCTGCCTAGTTTTGGATGTTGCAGTGCTCATTACGGAGGGCCAGGTGCAGGACTTGAAATTTCCTCAGGGCAGCAAAGGAGGGAACTCTATTCAGCTCTCTGCAAGCACTGTGAAACAGAACAGCAGGAACGGTGAGTCTTAGGCATGGAATACTGAAACTCCATTAACTTTTATAAAACCTACATTACCTCCCCTAGTTAAAATATCAAAACAAAACACAACAAAACTGCTTTGTGGCTTTTTCTCAAACATCATGGGTACCTGGTTGCTTTTCTTGAAATCTATAGCCCGAAAATGTCTGTTTGCTGCTGCTTTATTGTCAGTTCATTAGAGTACAGGTTGCTGTCTTTCTGTGGACTTCTGTGGCATGATGATGGGATTTTTTTTCTTTTGTAGGGTTAGCAAAACTGGTTTTCATCATTTACAAAAGTTTAGGGCGTTTTCTCAGCACGGAAAATGCAACCATAAAGTTAGGCAGCGACTTTGCTGGACGGAATAGCACGATTGCGGTGAACTCGCACGTCATTGCAGCCTCTATCAACAAGGAGTCTAGCCGGGTGTACCTGACTGATCCTGTGCATTTTACACTGGAACACATTGATGTGAGTTATGCTAATGAATTAATGGGAAGGTCATAAAATCAGCAAGAGAGAAAAGCAGTGCAGAAAAATAACGTTTTTTCCATTTGAATTTTAAATGTTGGACTAGGTCAGGGACACAAGCTTAGTTAAGTCTATGAACATAAAATTAAATGAGCCTGGTTCAGTGATTATTAGAACTTAAGTGTATTCTTAATGAAAGCTAATTCAGTAATCAACATGAAAATGTAAATGACTAATTTTTTCTAACTGAAAATTAACTCTTACCTTAGTAGCAGGGTAGAAAATAGCTGTTAAGATTTGTGGTGGTCTGATGTGACAAGGTTTAAGGACACTTTTAACTTTTTGTATTAATATTGGACCAAGTCCTGGAAACCTGTGCAAATTGTGTAAATAATTTTATTTAGTGAAGAATAAAGTATTGTATTTTGGTTTGTTATTTATGTTTTCTTCACAGTAATTTATTTGATGTGTTTATTTGCTCATTAGTTTGGTCTTTTCTGTTTTCATGTCTCACATGGGGACAGTAAATAATCACTACCATGATAAAGAAAATATGGTTGGATTTTCCTCTCATTTTGCCTCTTTTTATAAATCTGTTTTGACTTTTTTTCATTGAGGAATGAACTTTTTCCTGATGTCTGTTCACATGACTTTGGCTTGACCAGAGGTGAGAGTCAGAGGAAAAAGATCATATTACCAAATTCTCAATTGCAGGAAAAATGTCTTCAGAATAAATTTGCAGTATTACGTTTGCAGAAAGCAAAGATAGCTATAATGTACCATCAATGCATAAAATTGTAAGATGGAAATTGTAATTGTTTAAAATTGGGTCTACAATAATTGAGACTACACTTTAGAGTGTCTCGGACTATAAAGTCCCTTTTAAACTAGATGTCTTCCTTGTATAACATAGTTGACAATTTTGCTGATGAAAAACTTATTGTCCGAAACATGCAAAGTTTAATCTAAATTACCCTTTACACATATTAAACAATTGTTATTGCCATCTTAGTGTGTAAAATCCTCATTTTATGTTATCCTTTTATCTCCCAGCCTGACAATTATTTCAATGCAAATTGTTCCTTCTGGAACTACTCAGAGAGGACTATGATGGGATACTGGTCAACTCAAGGCTGCAAACTTGTTGACACAAATAGAACTCATACAACGTGTGCTTGCAGTCACCTAACCAACTTTGCAATTCTTATGGCTCATCGGGAAATTGTGGTAGGTAATGATGTTACTAGCCATCGGCAGGGAACAGACTTTTAAAGACTGAGCTTTAAATTTTTGGCAAGATTCAAAGTTGCAGAAGTTTCTTAAGTATTTCTAGCTTCTAGCCACACTTTCCAAAGCAATTTGCTTTCTGTAGCACTTTTTTTCCTCACCTGTAAAGTTATGAGCAAAATAACAGGAAAGAAAAACAAGGAAGGACAAGAGTTTCCCTCAAGTCATATTTTAGTTACTGACCACCTTACAATTGTTTTTACAGACTTCTCTCTCAGTACAGCTGGAGAGTATCTGTAGTCACAGCTGTGCAGGCTGTTCCCTGGAAACTCAAGTGCCAGTTCTCCTTAGAGCAGGAAGGTCAGCCCTTTACTGGATGACAGGGGGGTCCGGAACATGCAGTATTTGCAAGGATATGGGGCCTCTCATAAAACCATTGTATTCAGAAAGGTCCCTTGAAAGATAACCGATATGACAAAAGTGATTCTGTCACAATTGAAGGAGGGAACTTTCTTTAGCTAAATGTGAGATTATATAGCTGGAATTAACACGCGTAACATATTCTGCATTTTATCTTAATTGTTGTGTAAATCATTGCTTTCTTCTCTGCTGTGGACCTCTGTAGTAAGGAACGTGTGCTCTTACAGCATGTCCCAGGGAAAGCTCTTCTCTTTCTTTGCATCAGAGCCTAGTGGCACTTCCAAAGTGTTATGTTTCTCTACTTGTTCTTGTCTGACGAGTTTATAGCAAGCTGTAGGAAAAGTAAAAAGGCTATCTGATCTGGCTAAAATAGTTACATTTGCCTCTAAGACCTGCTTATCTTCTCCTTACCCTAATCGTGCTCTTCTGGAAAGGTGATCTGAGACTGAGAAATTACTGAGTACATTTTGTCCATCTCATGTAATGAACAAGTAACTTTCCTGGATGCTATTAGTGAAAATAGGTTTTTGTTTATACTCATAAAGAGTCATATTAATTTTCCTCATTCTTGGTTATTTCTAGTACAAAGATGGAGTGCACGAATTGCTCCTCACTGTCATCACCTGGGTGGGAATTGTCATCTCTCTTGTTTGCCTGGCCATCTGCATCTTCACATTCTGTTTTTTCCGTGGCCTGCAAAGTGATCGTAACACTATTCACAAGAACCTTTGTATCAACCTATTCATTGCTGAGTTCATTTTCCTAATAGGCATCGATAAGACAGAGTACAAGGTAAGTTTTCTCTGTGTGTACTGATCTTGTTCTCTGAAATGACTGTTTGAAATGGATTTGAATTAAAACATGACAACACCGCCAGGCTTTCAGCATTCTGACACAGCAAGGCTGAAATAAAAGCTCAGTGTGAAAGTACGACAGCCATGTTCATAAATACTATTTACATCCATCAAAAATATCTCTGTGGCTTTAATTTCCCACTTACTGCAATATTTTTCATTTTCAGTTGAGAAACATCAGCTATTAATGAAGCAGGTGTTAAACACTTGAAAGAGGAGATTAAATGTTGATGTACTAGGAGCATATTTTTTTTTGTTACATTCATATGTCTGAACAGCTATTCACTACTTTTTTGAATATAGATATATATTAGTACAAAGCCTTGTCTATATATTTATCCATTTTTTACACTACACATGCATGCAGGATTTTTGGCAGTGTTGGTGAAATTATATCTGGAGATTCATTGGGTTGAAATCAGTGAACTCAGCCAAAGGGGGGAGGATTCAGATTGGTTTCTCTTATGACAATAGAAACCACCAAATTAGAGCGGCTAAAAATGGCTTGATGGCTGCTTCATAATTTTAAATAAGCAATATTTCACTGTGCATTTAGAACCAACTGTTCATGTCTCAGATTATCTAAACTGTAAGTCCTAAATCAGTATCAGTTTCAAAATTAATGTGTATAAAATTAAAAAGTCCACTCTGCAATTGAAGAGTGAGGGTGAGGGAGCAATTTCCTTATCTTAGTTGACACACTTTAGCTAATTTACTTTCTGTAGCTACTGAGCACACATTACTATTTTCAGATATTAAATGTATGTTTTCAGGTAGGGAAAATGCTCCTGAATTTGTGAAAGATCTCTGACAGAAGTATATGCTGTTCTATAACTCACTGTTTCATTGGAGCTGAAACAATGTGAAGATTTTGTGGTTTATACTTCTGTTTTTCTTTTTCTTTGCAGATTGCATGTCCAATATTTGCAGGTCTGTTACACTTTTTCTTCCTGGCAGCCTTTGCCTGGATGTGCCTGGAAGGAGTGCAGCTTTATCTGATGTTAGTAGAAGTATTTGAAAGTGAATATTCTAGGAAGAAGTACTATTATGTTGCTGGCTACCTCTTCCCTGCTACAGTCGTTGGTGTTTCAGCAGCTATTGACTATAAGAGCTACGGAACAGAGAAAGCGTAAGTAATTGCAAGTGACCTGAGTGTTTTTCAAGTGAATAATTTTTTAAAGCCTATTAGCTGTCAGAGGGTCTCTGACAGACTAAAATACCATCTGAAAGCTTTATTGGTAAGAGAATGGCAATGCTGTGCACAAATTACAATCAAGTCTTTTGTAATTCTCTAGGTTCAGAGGATTTGTACTCTAGAGAGACTGATTCTAAATTATGGTCTTTCTTTTAACACAAAAGATTGACCTGAAACAAATTGAAAAAGTAAATAACTTTTTGGCCTCAAATGTATATTAAGTAAAATTTTTCAACTTAAAGTCTCTGACAGGCCTAACCACCCAGTTTTAAGCTGATGCTTCATTAGATCTCTTTGTTCAACTGCCCCTCTAGCTAGCTCTTGTCCTGAATTATGACAGTACAATATTTCAACCCGTATGTTTCACTTTGATAATATTTTATCAGACGAGTAGAGCAGGATTAAAATTAGCCACTGCCTTTTATTTACAAAAATATGGATATATATAGAAAGTGACAGAAGGTAGACAGAAAACATTTCTGAGGATTTGAGTTGCTGGAGGCATGAATTTGCCTTCCAATAGTGTTTACTTTGTCTTTTGATGAAATTAGTTACAGAATGGGAAGATACTGTTGACTACAAGAAAGCTGCTTGATTTTGCTACTGATGAAAGACAAATAAGAGCAATTCAGCAGGGAACTGAGCTGTATGAAAAATGAATCGCTAAGTCAGCCCTGATAGGTTTACACGTCATCTACTCTGGTATCATATGTATACTTTCTCTACTGTTCAACTCCTATTTGTGACATATTATTTATACCATATTGTTTTTCAGTAAATTATGGCACTTTTTGTCTCATTCCTCAGGAGTAAGCACTTTGCATATGGTACAAACTTAAAAGCAGATTTTGAAGATTACATGGAAAATGAGAAATACTTACTGATGTTAAATTCATTGTCCATGATAGCACCTGTAACCAAAACTTTTGACTGAAAGGAGAGCGAGTACCTTTAGGTTTTGCTTCTTCTTATATGTTAGCTATTCCTGATGATTTGGTTTAAGTTCAATAATGTTATTAAACAGGACTCATCAGAAGAGTATCAGGTTAGGAAAAATTGTCCACAGGCTAAGTGATGCTGTGCAATGTTTATCATTGTTTACTGGCAAAATGTTAGCTTAAGAAGTATTTTTGCACTTTCCTTTTCTTAGACTGAGGTACTAATGCAGTTTTTCACTTTTGATTCTCTTTTTTTCCACAATAGTTGCTGGCTTCATGTAGATAACTATTTTATTTGGAGTTTCATTGGACCTGTTACCTTTATTATTCTGGTAAGAACTTTGTTTTTAACTTTCCTTTTAGGTTGCCTCACAGCAAAGTTAAAAAGATTGAATAACATCAGTCAGTACCATCCTTATTCACAAGACATTTCATGAAAATGCTCATAAACAATTTGTAATGTGACCAGTGGTCATATAAATGTTTAGAAATCTTTAAAGAGTGCTGACCAAATGATTAATTGTCAGAGCTGTGGTGGCACTTGAGCGTAGCCATTTTTATCTAATGGCTTGAAACACTGAAGGTCATATTGACATGTGTAGTCATACGAAAAATCAATGAAGTACAAAACACGTTTTTTTTTAAAGGAACCATTATTATTGCTTTTAATTGAGTCACTATTGTACGTGTTCCAGAATTTAATTGCTAATTATCCAACATAATTATCTCGAAAGTGTGTTCTAACACATTGAATAATTAAATAGATCTTATATTTCATTATACTTACACTGTATTTGCATATGTATTTGCATATGCATGTACACATTTTCCATGACTACTTCTATGTGTATTTATGTTACATGTAATGTATGACATAAATTCATCTATTTTAGTATAAATAACAAAATATTATGCAATCAATAGAAAGTATTGCAGTCATTTGAATGAAGTCATATGCATGCACACCCATATGTACATCTGTAGCTGTGTGCCCCGTTGTCCATTTAAAATGAGATCTTCATGCCTCAATTATCCTTTCTCTGAGTGCTTTCAGATAAAAAAAAGCACATAGTCATCTGTAAACCCAGGGAAAATGTCTCCCTGTTACTTCAGACTAATAATACCAACACTGCAGAACATAAGGTTTTGGAAGGAAAGTGAATGCAAGATGTGCATTTTGACTCACCTTGCTTTCCTCTGCTAGTTCAGTATCTTTAAAGCCTGGCTATACTTTGGAAATATTCTAGAAGGCTGTGCTGGGGGCATAGCCTGTTTACACAGAGAGCTTTTCTCATAACTGCTGATAGTTTGGAAATATGAATTCATTTTTCATGCTTTTGAAGGTCCAAATAGTTACCTGTTCCTCTGTGTTTATGCCATACTAGAGTTGTGAACTGTCAACACAAATTTGGTTCCCTTGAATTCCCAAATTCAGGAATTGGATTTTGCCATTATTATTTTTTTCAGCCTGAAGCACATGCATCAGGCATAATTTTGAAATTTCTGACTTCTGTAGATCTATGATCTGATGTATAGGTGTACTATTTTAACACTTCTTGTAGTTCATAGTTTACCTTACTTCTCCGTATAAAAATAAATTGATACTTTGATGATGGAACTTTCTATAAAAAATGTACCCAGCCATTCTTTTGTAGGTAATATCTTCCATATTGAAATAAGCTTATGTATATTTAGGTTGGGTTTACTCTCTATGTCAAAAACTTTTTCAGTCCTTGAACAGTCACTTAAGAAAAGACAGCTGTGCCATGTTCATTGTTGTTTGAGTTCATTGGCATGTTTTCTAAGAAATAGCCATAGATGCCAAAACTCACGTGTGTATGAATTGAATTAGAAAAATTACAGTGTTTGTAAGATTTAAACTATAGACCATAATAATTGTACTGAGTTTATTCTAAATACATTTAAATTAAATCAAGTTTCAATTAAACCTACAATTACAATTGAAATATGTTCTTAATACTTTTAATATGGTAGACAGTATTTTTCAAAACAGAGTTGTTTCTTGCAGTTGTTATGATCATTACTAGAAAATTGTTCTAAGTTTCATGCCACAGTAGTTCAGTTACCTCAAGTCTGATTGTATGGTGATAATTTTGCTTTTTGTGTCTAGCTTTTTATTTTATTGTTACTGAGAGTATTTTGATAAGTCACCTCTATTTCTCTCCCTTGCTTTAAAATAACATTTCACATGGGAAGCGTTGGGCTTTGCTGAAGGCTTTTTCACTTCCTCATAACCAGGTCAGAGTGAGAATAGAGGTGAAGGACATTTAATCATATTGACCATGTACAGACATAGTTCACTATTATTTACTGGCCATGACATTATTATCCTCCAGCAAATCATTTAGGCTGAGACGCAGAAGGCCTTTGGGAGCAGTATTCCCAACTTCAAAAATATGAAACAGCAGGTAGCAATCACAGCACAGTTCCTGGGAGTAATTCTTCTCTAGCAATTGCTTTGCCCTCTAATCGTCCCAACTGAGAAAGCAAGAGAGACTGGAGAAAGAAGTGTAAGAAGTATAATGGCTGAGAAATAGTATGTCATGTGCAGTGTAACTGAAGAGCTGTATTTGTAGTGTGGCTTACTTAGTGTCAGTAGCACATGAGAATTTTACCTTGGTAAGCTTTTAAACATGTTCATCAAATCACTTCTGTGATTCTAAGTTTAATAGTACTGTCAATGCACATAAACTCCATTTTGACAGTATTGCTTACTAGTTTAATTTACAATTTCTCTGCATTTATAAGCATTTGCTCTTGTATCTGTATACAGGTTTCCTCAAAATGAGGATGGGAAATACAAGGGGAAAGTATGAAGTTCCTCTGTACATCTCTTAAGGAACTTTCTACTTCACTATTTCCATAGCCTGTCATGCCTCTGGGCACCAGGGTTATTATATCTATGAGAAAAGAGCATGTAAGTAATGAGCGGTGGGAAACCATTAGTATGCCTGAAATGGCTTAATGAAAGCTTGGATCATGATACGTCAGGAGCTGTTCTTATCATTTGGACAGCTCCATCTGCATCTTTAATAATTAATTCAGTTCAGTAAGAGTTCAGTGTGCACACTCATTTAGAAGCCTTCAGAGAGCACCTCTCTCCCTGCCAGTCCCAGAGAGAAATAGGCTTCTGCATGACTAAGAGCAAAGATCTGGAGATACAAGAACAGTTTTAGAGCTGCATTTGCCAGGTAACAAAAGCTCTGGGGAGTTCAAAAAGGGTCAGAACATGTGCAGTTCAGCTAGGTTACTTCAGAGTGGTGTTTCTGTTCTTCTGTCTTATCATATCCATGTCAGCACTGCAGGCTGTGTGGAATGAATTTTAAGCTGCTAAGCTCAGGCGGACGTGATTCAATTGAGCAGGTTCATGGCTATAAAACAAACAGTGCACTCCTGTAATCTGTGGTCAGAAAAGCCCGAGTATTTTGACTTCTATGTAAATCTATTTTCATTCATCTTCAAGGAATGGGTGATGTTGTTTTCACTTTAATTCAGCCAAAACCACTGGAGTTTCCTTCTCGCAGATGGAGCCAATAGATTAGGCTACCGGAGGTTATTTAAGCAAAAATTCCTAGGATGTCCTGTTCCACTAACATAGGAATTAACATTTTTCACTCAGGTGGGGGCATTACTTTAGCAGTCAGTGCATGTGGACATACAAATGCACGCATAATCCATCTCTGCGTATGAAAATGGACTGTATCTGTAAGCTTATGTATGTAAATAAGGCACACACATCTTTCTGTAGTAGACACTTGATAAATGGTATTTATCTATTCTTCATAGGGGGAAATTTATCATAATTATTGCAAAATCTAGCTTTATTTGGCTACTAATTCATTGTACCTGCAACTAATTTGAATCCATTAGTCTTCTGTGCAGGTTATTACATCCACTGTTTTAAAAAGTTAATTTGACTTGAAGTCAGTCCCACTCAAAATTACGTATTTTCAGGTGCCAGAAACACCAAATTCCTACTTACATTATTTTTCATGTCCCGTACCTTCTGATTTCCAAACCAGATATGGCCCTCTGTGTGTTGGCTATGAAAGAAGCTGATCTTCGTGGCTGATGCATTTGATCATTACCGTAAAAAAATCTTCAAATTTTAGATGTTTTAAGTATTTACATGTTATTTAATAATATGTATGCAGTTGCCTTCCCTTTGTTCTATCCAAATTACACTTGTCATTAAGAGACAAGCAGGAACTGGTATTTTAAAACATGCTCTAATAACCTTCTTTACATATATTTGTAAAATCAGAGTATAAATTAAATTAGTTCTCTATGTCATCCAGTAGTATCCTGTTTGTTATAGTGGTAATATATTTTAGAAATTATAGCAAAAACCTGATAGATTTATGAAATCCCATCAATCCAAGTTTTGCTTATCGTTATCAGCTAATGTCACATTATAGCTCCACCTAATGTAGCTGCATGTTCTGTCACTCTCAGTATCACAACAGAATCTTCAGATCCAAAACTTACAAATTCCTACTTTTAGCCTTTGAAAGAGCATTGGTCTGGTTTTCAGAAGTGCAACATGACAGAGATTTTTCTGACTTTGTCAAGGGCATAATTTCCCGACTGTTTAAGATGTGTGGAACACTGTGGCTGTGTGTGTGTGTTCACACAATGTATTTACATTTTCTATTACCATTGAAGGAGAGAGGTACTGTTCAAGTGCAGATTTTGGCTCACCTGGGATGCAGCCCAGTGGTCAGGATGAGGTCCAGCCAATCACTAACCTGTTTCGTTATAAGAAGTGATGAGAAAGTCACCATTGTCAGAGGCCCATGTATGCCTCTTACAAGTTTGCTTTCAAAAGCCCATCTTGCCATTCATGTGGGCCTTTATGTGACCCTACAGTACTGCATGTTTGTGGTGAACATTCCTCTTAAAGGAAGGTGTCCTATGCATATTATATGTCAAGCTTGTAAAACATTTACAGGTTCATTTACTTAGATTAGTAACAGTTCAGTCCTCACACAGTCATGAAACAATTCAGGATGGAATTGATGTCAGGAGGTCTGTGGTCAAAACAGGCTCAACGCTGAACTCAGACCAAGTTGCTCAGGGCTGAAAGTTTTCCTTATATAGAGTTGATACAAATGAATGCAAAAACACCAAGTGTGTTTCCTTCTCCCCCCACGTATTTCTCACCAAGTAATTCAGCCATTCCTTCTAAAAGTAGTTATTCTCCAGCAAGTTTCCTTCCCGTACTGCTTAGTACCTTGTGTAATAAAATGGCAGGATGCCCAAAAATCTTCAACTCATGAGTTCTTCCAAAACAGTCGATTTCTAGATGAAAAACAGTAAGGGAGCCAAAATCGAATCTATAGAAAGGTTCGGTTACATTATTTGTAAGTGAGCAAAATAGGCTTTTGATAATGATATAATGTGTAACAGAGATGCCAGCATGTTTGAACAAGTGGCAAAACATGGTCTTTTGACTGCTGAAACTGAAAACTAAGCAATATTTCACCATGATGGAAAAACAGGTATCATATGCTCTGTTGTCATAGTTACTTTGTCTGCAAAGTACAAATTTTGCTTTTTTTCTTTTCTTCTTGGAAGGACTTTTTCAGCTGCTGTAATACAGCATTATTATTTCTGTGGCTGTTTTGGAGATCTGTACCTATATTCATATTAAAGTGTCTGTTAAGAAACTGCTGTGTAAAGTTATTCTCTAGGCCAGCAAGGACATATATACAGACAGAGATGAGTATCTACATAAAACCTGCTTAATATGCTGGAGCTTGGCTCAGGCTCTGGGGTAGGGCTGTATCTGCTTGCAAGTCACCGAAGGAACTTCAGTATGTAAATACAAGCTTTTGTTTTTCATGTCAAACCAGCACTTCAGTCATACAGAGAAGCAGAGGATAAAAACCTCTCATTTCATAAGGCAGTCATTTATGGTCTAGGCCATATCTATGAGGTTTTGATCCAAGAATGATGTAGCTAGTACAATGCAGGATACTCCAGGGTAGCTACTTAGGCAACAATTAACTTCCAGATGTGCTGTAAATACTATTCTGAACTGGATTGTGCACTCCCAGTTGCATAGGTTGCAGCCAAAGTTGGTTTACATGTTAGGATTGGCATGGGACATGTGTCTTAGCTCTTAATCTGTTTGTTTTCACAGAAAGTAAAACATTATATCATTGACATTATATCATTTTAAGCAGGCTGGAGAAGTTCATGCTATGTCAGCTACCAAACTGTGCAAAAAACTTTTTCAAATACAGAAGAATAAAGTTTGCCTGCAAAGGCATGGAACTGAGGGCCAGGTCATGCACAAAGTCCCTGTGCTCTGTCTGGTACAGAGGCCAGGGAGAGAAGCAACTTGTTTCCTCACCCAAGGAGCTTATGCAGTACAGTGGAAACATAGATAAGGGAAACAAAATGATCACAATGATATAATGAAGTGTTTCTCAATTGGTTAGTCATTGCCTATAAGAATCATAAAAAGTAATCGGCAGGGTTGTCAGATATTAACACTTCAATTACATTTTGCAGCAATGGAAGTCATGCTTAACCTTTGCCATGTACATACCCCTGCTTAAAGGTTAAGTATTTTTGTCAGTTCTTGAAACACAGACAGAAATAAAGTATAAAAGCTTGGTTTTGTTATTTGTATCACATACACTTTTTGTATTAATCTCAAGGTACGGTTGTAAAAATGTTTTACTTTGAATAAAGACTATTGATGTCAAGGGTCTCCAAACACTGTTCTGGTGTTGAAAACTGCATTATAGATAATACTGTCCATCCTGATTTGGAGACAGCAACAGCAGTGATAACTTAAATACCCTTAGCAATAGGAATTATTTCTATAATACATACGTTTAGTAACAGGCTCTGATCAGAGCCTTTAAAATACTCATCTTTTTGAGGTTATTAAGACCTGCTCTTTATTAGGAGTTGAGTGACATTTCTGACCACTGTGGCACAGCTATAGGAACACAGCTGGTATGAATTGGTATCCCCAGTGTTACAAAAAGAATTTTGATGCTGTCTCAAACCAAAGGCTCCCCAAAATGAGACTGGGCTTGATCATTCTCCATCAGTAACCAGTTGCAGATATGTATGGGGTATTGTAAGAATGGGGTTATGATCTAGCCAATATATGTGTTATAAGGATTTCCAAGCATACTCTCCTATTTAATCTTGGCTGTCAGTTCAGCCACTTCTTGTGGACCATTGTACTATTAGATAAAGATGTGTGTCTTCTCCTTGAAAGGACATAGCTCTTACTGTTTTCAAACATACAATTTTATTTGAATTGTCTGCATGATATAGGACAGCAGATACTAATTACTCAAAATAACTGTATACCACTTTTCAGCCTGTATTCTTCAGGCATCCTTGTTTTTGGCTTACTGCATCCTTGTGTTAGGCTTAACTTATGCTCTTCACACGCTTTGAAATCAATAGGAGAAAGGCACCTAGTATCTTTGATACCTGTGATTCTGTTTCACAATAGGAAAACTATAAAAAATTACCTTCAGTATCTTCCCTGTTGTTATCTATATGAATGATACAACAAGAATAAGACAGCATAGTCCTTTCCTTCAAGTCTCATGCAGTCTTGCTTTGACAGAATCCAGACTACAAAGGGAAAGAGGGCAATAGGAGGGTGCACCACCAGCACTGTTAAGTTTGATGTATTTGCTGCATCTTTGTTTCTTTTTTCTTTCTTTAGTTACATTTAAGCTGTTTTCAAGAACCGAGTAGGATTTTTGCGGACAAAAGGGGATAAAAAAAGGAAAGGGAGAAACCAGCAAAGGCAAAAAACATTCCAGAAGGAGGATGGGGTAAAAAAAGGACAACTAGTATAGTACATTAAAGGGGTAAGCGTAGTCTTCAGGGAGGTCAATGAAATGGGGAGCAAGGCCAGAGGTGACAGGTGAAGGTGAACAGGGGCCAAGCACAACAAGCTGGAAGACAGACCTGGACTGACAAAGACATTGGACATGAGATAAACATGGTGGTTCATGATGATGTAGTGAATTTGAAAGATTAAGTGACCTATAACTTTTTTTTTCCCCTCAGCCATATTTGCAGTCACTTTTTACAGACTGTCTGATATGGTTACGCAGTTTCACTACATATTTGAAAATAAACTACGGGGGTTTTGTTTAGTCTGTAACATCATCATTATTCAGCCTATTACTTGAAGTAGTTTAATTTCATTCTTATCTGTTTTGACAGCTGAATCTTATCTTCCTGGTGATCACATTGTGCAAAATGGTGAAGCACTCAAACACTTTGAAACCAGACTCTAGCAGGTTGGAAAACATTAAGTAAGTGCTTTGTGTTCAAGTATGAGAACCATGATTATTTTCTGATTGCTGAACTGATTGAAAGGTACTCTCCATTAGGAGCACATGCCATTGTCTCCCAGCAACTGCAGATGTCAATTAGAAGCAAACAGAGCCAATCCTTCTTTCGTCACATTGTTGCTGTAATGTCACAAACGCCGGTCAAAATTAGATAATTTCGGCCTGGAACTAGTGCCAAGAACCTCTTTCACGGAAATGCCACAACACTGTAGTAATGCCATTTGCATTTAAAACGCAAATCTAAAATGATGTTCCTGTTTGCATGGCTGATATGATTATATTAAGTTTGCTTTGTTAAATGACTTTTTGATTTAGGGATTCTGAGCAGTTTCTACTCCTAATCCTGTTCTCCCAAGAGAATTGACTCTATTATTATTGTTAACTTGAAGATTATCTGCTGTTTTGATGCTAATTTAACAAATGTTTACTTTATCATGGTGCTGTACTTCAGTATCCCTTTTGCAGAGTAATGTTAAGTGTTACACAATTAACAAGGCTTTGACAGCTTTTGCTTCTTTAGATAGTCTTTTACTGTATTCTGTATAGCTTTACGTTGTACTGAAGGTTTTTATTATCAACACTGAAGGGAGGATGCAACTTTCTAACACTGAGGGTTGGATGTGGAAGGGTCTTACAGATTTGCTTTGAATGTTGAAAATGGCGAAGGGAGATTTTTCAGTAAGGCTATAACATTGTGAACTAGATGTTCTAGCTAGGTCAGTATCAGCTTCATTGCATGTTGCATGATGAGAGAGAGAGCTAATCTTTAGCATCTCTCTCTTTTCTTCCTTTTCCTCTTTCTGTCTTCTCATCCACACCAGTAATTACCGTGTTTGTGATGGCTACTATAATACGGACTTACCTGGGTAAGATAGAACCCTACATTAACAAATTTCTAGCATGATTTTTAACTTTACAAACTCGGTCAATATTGTGGATTTCCCTTAATTTTAATTAACTACTTTTGAGATACCTGATTTGCTAAAGAACTTTAAACTATTATATGCCTTTATAATTTTAAATTGCTTGCCTCTGCATTTTGAATTTTCTGATTTTGACTAATTTTTATAGACAATTAAAAATGCTCTTATTAATTTCTGTTTCAATTCTGTCTAATAATTTTGTTTCTCTTTTCTGCTTATAATGCTTTCTAGCTATGAAGATAATAAGCCATTTATCAAGTAAGATCATTAGTTAGATGTGGAATTCACTGACTAAATTCCCTTTCCCTTTCATTCTGTGCCGTTCTCTACAATTCCTTTTCCTTAACCTGTTCATGATGGAATCTTTTTTAGACTATTTTGTAGAGCAATATCCATATTTTTGTCACATTTCAGCAGGGTTTCTTCATGCGGAAGTTAGATCATCTAGCTTCAGTTTAGCTGAGTTTATTGGCGCATTAAAGATTTGGGCTCTAGGCTTTTAATCTGCTGTTCAACCTTTGTGCATTTGTGTTACATTATTTGGTGTCATATGGCAGTTTAAAATCTATGGTGTGATTAGTGACTAAGCCAGATTTATCAATCTCTTTTCTAAAAGCAGATAAAGCAATGGAGTAGCTGGGGCTTGCGCTGTACTTCTGAATTTCAAAATAGTTTTAACATCCTGTGCAGTTCTTGAGAAAGAAAAAGGTCACATCTACTCTTCTGTTTTCACTGGAGACTAAGAGTACTAAATGGAATTGTTCTTTCTTTAATAGATAAAAGGTTAAACCCAAGGAATTTTTACATTTGAATATGAACCTAGTAAAAGTCAACTGCAGGAACTGAAATGTTAATATTGGTTTTGGTGATATGCATTCTCATAAGTAATGTTACTAAAATTAATTTTCTTTTACAGATCCTGGGTCCTGGGTGCATTTGCTCTCCTGTGTCTCCTTGGCCTAACATGGTCATTTGGCCTGCTGTTTATCAATGAGGGCACTGTTGTGATGACGTATCTCTTCACAGTATTTAATGCTTTCCAAGGAATGTTTATTTTCATCTTTCATTGTGCCCTTCAAAAGAAAGTAAGTTAATGAAAATACACATGCATGTTCTCTAACTCCTTAAAAATACCGCATATATTTCCTTAAAAACAGAGAAAAAAAATAGCAACGTTAAGAACTGAGGTATTCTGAAATAGTTTGAGGAGGGGACTAAGATTCAAAAGCAATTCTTGCTGTGTGTTCTTGTGAGGTTCCTGTAACTGCTCTGTGGCCCGAGTGGGTTTAAAATGGTTGCAGCATTTCCAACTTAGGCTTGCAAAGTTTTGAGGCTTTTGGAAGAAAATTACTATAGAAAATGTACTACTACTTAACATTGGTAATATGGTATGTATTAGTCTGGACTTACAGCCAAAAGTCTTTATGTGTGCACGAAACAAATCCTGCCTTAGCTGCAGCACTGCTAACAAAGGATCATTTATGGTATCAGCCTATCTCAGCCTGGAAACTCTCTCAGATCAAGGCAGAGGACCTCTCCTGAGGTCCCATTAATCTGCCACATAAAGATACGGGTGATAGGCAGGGATTGTACTATCAGTGCTTGTTCATTACAAAATTAAGTGAGATGTAAAAATTAATTTTATTATTAACTTCAGCACACTATAGAAAAAATGTAGTCATTAACACAAGACAACTGCTAACGGGCAGAGGTTCCCAAAGATGCCAGCATGACTACTCTTAATTCAAGTGTTTGCCTCCCCCAGCAATCAACAGCTTTGTGCTCTCAACTGGAAAAACTTGAATCCCCTGGCAAGAGCTTTCCCTCGTAAGTGGGATGTGCTAAATTAGTTCTGCTCCCCTTTGCCCGATGGGAACAGAGGAGTCCAGAAGGAGCAGATCTTCTGGGGAGAGAGAAGGTTTGCAGGGGAGAGAGGAGAGGAGCAAACAGGAGAGAAGGAAGTGAAGGGCACAGCTGCATGAATTCTCTTTGGGTTCCCTGCAGCTTGTCCCCAGACTGAGCAGGGATGCCTTAGAGGTGCTTTTCTGAAGGACAAAAGAAAAAAGCTCGTAGCCTGTGTAAGAAGGTGTAGCAAATAAAAGTAACAAGAGTTGAGAGGAAGGGTAAATGTTAATCCCACCCAAAAAAAAACTTCGCATAAAATGCAATACACGCTACATTTGGAAATACCAAATTTGTGATATTTAGATTCTAAATATTTTTACCAGTTTTAGGTTGGAGACATAGCAATTATTAACTCCCATTATAATTAGCTCACCAGAGACATAATTAACTGATATTTACAAAATGTTTTGAGACCACTGGATAAAGCATTGCTGTGCAAGTACAAAAATCATGTTCTTGCGTGACTCAACTGTACCAGCTCTAACTGTATCAGCACCTCTAAATTTGGTGTAGACAATGGCATTCAGCCATGTTTTAGGAAAAGATCTGGTAGACAGAGTTTTATCGAGATGAACCTGGTATTCCTCTCATTTTGAGAGAATAAAAGCATGCTTAGAGAGGAGATTGAGCCTAAGAGAAAAAAGAGAGGAAAGAAAATGCAGACATTCTCAAAATGCAAATAATTTCTAGATTAGGGTTTCATATAATGTTGCCCTTTCTGCCACTTGTATTGGACTTGAAAATCAAAACCAGATTATTTTTTTATTTCTTTTTCCAGCTATGCATTGTTTTCATATTAAGTGGAATCAGCAAAAAGCAATATTAAGATACCAGTCAAGTGTCAAAAAGCATAACCTAGAGCAGTAAGATTTATACCTGGAAGAATGTTAAAGCTGCCATTTAAGATTTTTAAGTTTCGATGCCTTTGACTGGGTATCATCCTATCCTCTGTCTGCATAGCTAATGTAGTCTTTTTATTCTGTTATTACTAGTTGGTCACTAAATTGAACAGTGAAATAGAAGTGTGAAAGTGAAAACTATTATGTTTCCAGTTCTGACAAGATGATAGTGCTGTTGCTTCCATCGGTTTCCAACAAGCTATAATTTAGAAATAATGACCGTGGAATGTGCAATACTGACACATAATGTACAGTCACTGCAATATAGGCATTAGGCAAAACCAGCCCTAGAGGGTGGTATTTGGGTAAAAATACAGTTTTGATTGCTATTGTTTCTACTTTGTAGTGGTTTGAAGCATTTAATATCCGTTTGTGTTCAGGAATGGATTTTCTTAGGTGTTATACCACCTAGCGATGATACATACAGGCATAGGTTTTACAGACTACAGGGTTAAAGATTATAATTCTATGTCTGTGCACTTTTTTCATTTTCCATGAGTCTTTTCATATTGTTACAGATCGGGGTTCCCTTAAAATATGTACCATATACTTTTATAAAAAGATGAGTTATTGTCCCTAGCTTGAATTCAATTAATGCACTAACTATTCAAATTTTCTTAAACCTTGTGGTTTATAAAAACATCACAGTATGTATTCCATGAATGAAATTCTTGTAATATTGGTAACAGCACGTGGCACATGTAAATCCACACTATGAATTTTTTGCATTTTCCCCTTTCCCCTTTCTGTATACACGTAACTTTCTGTCCTGTATTTTCATAGGTCAAGCAGACTTTCCACATGAACTGAAAACCCACTTTTCCCAGAAACTTACGAGTCTCACTGATGCAGAGACACTTAGACTGCCAAGTACCTGAGGAAGATTTATGAATTTACTTGAGCACCTTTCCAAATTTTATCTACTCTGTCCTTTCACTGTTACTGTCATGCTGCCAAAATGTGTATTCACTTTCTTGTTACCTGAGAATAGCAGCTAGCATAGCAGCCGCAAAAATGACAAAGCTGAAGTTTCCTGTAGGCCACTGGAAACAGAAGGTGAATAAATGCAGGCAGAATACTAGAATCATTAATTAGTCTTGTTGCTTTGTCAGATAAAAATCTCATACACATAGGTGTAGTCACATTTCTAGGCTCAGCAGAGACAGTAATGAGGATTTTATTTTTTGGCCCTAAAATTGAAAGATTTCCCAAGCTTCACAATTTAAAATTTGACTCTGGAAGTCTGATGGTGCCTCTACGAGCACAGCAGGCATTCTCCCTAAAGTGGGGCAGTGTCATTTGTGAGCTTTGTACAATCCCAAAGCTAGTGTGACCATATGAACTAGCAACTGTTTGAGTTACACATAGTAACTTTATATGAAAATGACTGTATAGTCATTGCAGGTTTTGTGCACTTTCTCAGAACGGATAACATAATGGGCACTACCGAGAAGTACACAGGCTAGTTACCTCAGCCCTTTTTTGCATGCTAGGGTGGGAAAATAGGCTTTCTATGTTTTTTGCACCAAAAGCTCATATAAAAAAGGACTATTTTCAGGCAGCATTCAGATCTGGTAAACTGAACTATATTAATCTATAGTATGACAAAATAAAAATAATTACATAAATAACTCAGTCACAGGATGGTTTGACCTGGAAGGGACCTTAAAGATCATCTAGTTCCATCCCCCAACTCAGTAATGATTATTCAGGCATATCTAAATGAAATGCATGTATACCTTGGAAATAATTTGTTCAGAAATCCTGGATAGTTGATAATGCTGTCACTAAGTAGGGAAGAATGCTTTATTTTGCTAATAGCCAATAGTTCAACAGACAAGAAATATCTTTTTGTGTGAAAAGTAAATAGTTTCTATGCCAGGTTTATGTGTTTTTGTCAGTGGAGATATTTAAGACTATTTTTTGTGCTAAGTATTGCTTTTCTCTCCGTAGGTACGTAAGGAATATGGCAAATGCTTCCGACATTCTTACTGCTGTGGTGGACTACCAACTGAGAGTCCCCACAGTTCAGTGAAGGCATCAACAACAAGAACTAGTGCCCGCTATTCCTCTGGCACTCAGGTAACAAAGGCTTTGACAGCATCTCTTAATTAACCTTATTTATAAAAAGCCGACTGAGATGTGTTCCAATCAGAAACACTAATTTTCTTCTCATTATTATTATTTAGATGGCAAATACATACTTCTGCATAGTAGAATTGATTTCTTTTTAAAATTTCCTTTTACTTTGGTCTAATTCAAACACCTTATTTTTCTTGTATATTAAGTGCTGCTTTATAGGAAGGTTTATGCCATCATGTTTCATCTAAATGAAATTTAATGAATCAGAGCTTTAATAATAACAGGAGGAGTTTTACTATGTGCTAGAAGCATGGCTTGCTTCAGGCCAAAATAAACACAAATATTCTACATAATAGCACATAATTAGGATAAAATCTTTTTGTAACTTACTGTGCTTTTGTCTCACTGCTTTATGTTAACAGAGTCGTATAAGGAGGATGTGGAATGACACTGTGAGAAAACAATCTGAATCGTCTTTTATCTCAGGTGACATCAACAGCACTTCAACACTTAACCAAGGTCAGTCACTGGGAACATTTCCGTTTTAGAAGCCTTAAATTTTATAAGATTTTATATTATTTAACACAGAATTGAAAAGAATGTTTTGGAAAAAAAAAAATTATTCTGGAACAAATGTTCTCTAAAAGTAGAGTTTTAAAGTCACCCACCAGCATATTTTAAAACTGTGTTCTCTCAACTGGCCGCCTGCTATAGGAGTTGAATTCCTCCATTTGTGATAATGTATTTAAATAAGTTTCATTTATAATTTAACTTAAAAGCAAGATCATAATTTTAAATCTTTCCTAACCTTTATAGGTTAAATCTGAAACAGAAATATGAGTGCAGTAACATTTTAATGCATATTTGACTATGATTTTTAGGTGCAGAAATTTTCCCAGTGAAATCTAATTGATATCATTTCTATTCAAAAGATGTCTGTAAAGCATTTATCTTTTCTCTTTCAAAGAACATCATATCTGTCACATGGGATAGAATCCAGATTTTCAGGCACATAGAAGCAAGACCTCCAAATTTCTCAGCTCAAATAGACTTTGAAATCTGTAACCTCATTCTCATGTCCAGTTAGGAGACAAGGGTATTAATTGAGACAGAATATCCCTTCCTTCCTCCCATTCTCCCTGTGTTTTTTCTAAGGCAGTTAGAGCTAGTGATGGAGAGAAGACTGGTCTGTACAAGCCAAATTCAAAGCCTGTTCTTCCACCCAAGTCCCTAGGAAAGAACACATAGCTCTGATCTTATTGCAATCAGTTTCTGCTTAAATGAGAAACTTTCAAACAGAAAATTCACCTATGCGAGGGCTGCTTGTAAAGCCTTCATCAACAACTACCAAATTTCTCTCCCTTGTTTTTATTTTTTCAAGATTGTTAGCAAGGACATGTACTTAAGTCACATTCATTTTGGAAGTAAAAAATGTATTTTGTGAAAGAAAGCATTTCAGAAAGCATGATTCTATTTTTGCTATTTGGTGTATAGAATGTGGGTAAGATGTTTGTCTCTTGTTGCTAGCTCCCATCTGAATCTTGTATGTTCCTCTAGCAAATCAAAATTAAGTAACTTCTCCTAAGTAGAATATGTATATTTTTCCTGCCTAAGAAAGAACTGCATTCCTTTCCAGTGTCTTATTAAAATCCCATAAATACACTAGAGATAGAAGTCTGGGACTTCACCCTAATTGGATGTCTCCAACTCCTGAGGTTTGCTCTAACCATGCTGCACCCTCTGTTAACTCAGAGTTGAACAGAGGTCTTGGAAGCTTCTTCCTCTTTTGGAGCTCCAGTCCCATGTCACTGGAGATGTTCTGCCATGATCAGAAAAATTGATATCATCTTCATTCAGTTATAATACAGTCACTGTCTCTGTGATATCTACATGCAAGCATAGTTTAGTAATTAATTGCAAGTGCCATTTTTCCTTAAAAATAAGAATCAAGGTTTTAAAAGTGGCATTGATTGAAAAAGAAAAATTCTTTTAACCATAAATTACAGGTAATGATTCTAACCAAGATTAAACATAGTACACACACACACACACACAACAATTGAACTCAAGAAAAATATGTTTCAGCTAGTATTTCTAGTAATAAGTAAATTACAACTGGAAAAAAGCTATGATAGAATCTTTTTGGTTGTTCGCTGAGACGAACTTCCAAATAAGATCGCATAATCAGGCAATATTTCTCTGAATCTTAGAATTTTTCACTAATTTCTGCTTCTATGTAACTATAGTAGTACAAAAGCATTAATATTTGGAATATATATTTTCTTTTCCTTGACAAATAAAAATGCCCATACTATAAAAATATAGCTGGCTCTTCAGTTGTCCTTGGGTCTGTAATACACTGATCCTGATACACTGCTGTGCAATGCAATAGGAAAGAAAGTGGAATTTTACCTTAATGAAATGTTTAAAGTAAGTTCTAAATCACAGCATTTTGTGTGGGGTTTTCTTTTGTCATTTTTCCAACCCGTTTTTCTTCTAGTAGCTAGAAATCAGAGATTAATTGACTTTTTAATAATTTCTCAAAATATGCTGATTTTTTTTTTAATAATTATTCCAAGAGGTGTTAAAATGGGTATTGCATTAAAATGTAAAATGGGTTTAAAAGAATCTATTCATGTAGTGTTTTGCTTCATCTTACATTGTTTGTAAACTGATTGTTTAAAAAAAAATTGTCATTTGAAGAATTCTTTTTTAAAACCTGGCAGATAAATTTGCAGCATGAGTGTCCAGGGAGAAAATGAGAATGCTCTGATTTCTTAGAGCAAATATTTTGCTTTCCCCTCAGCATGCATACTTTTGCATATACTAAGATATGCTTCTTGCAGTTTGTCATCCACTGTCTGTTTGAAAACAGCAATTCCCTTCCACTATCCATGTGTTTTTCATAAAGTGAGTAACAGCTCTGATCCTGTCATAAATTTTTCAATACCTTTCAGTTTGAGAAATTAATTTCTCTCAAGTCTGGACAGAAGTGTTCCATGTGATAATTTTTAAAGTTATAATAGTTTTATGTAGTACCTTGATCTCTACACATTTAATTGCTATTCTTGTGTAACAGTGATTTTGTATACACTACTAAATGTCACTCTCACCAGCTGTTTACTTTGGGGATTTGGACAGCACCTGTGAATTACTGGAACCTAACTGTGTTTTCCTGCTCCCATTTCAAATACATAGCTCAAATACATTCAGAAATTTTCAGCTGAATTACATTTGACAAGCCCTACATGATTCATGATGAATAAAAACTATTCTTTATTGAAACTGTCAGCCTAAAATTAAAGAACTGACATTTTTTTCTGTTTCTTTTGCTTTAGGAATGACTGGCAATTACCTACTAACAAACCCTCTTCTTCGACCACACGGCACTAACAACCCCTATAACACATTGCTCGCTGAAACAGTTGTATGTAATGCCCCTTCAGCTCCTGTGTTTAACTCACCAGGTGTGCTTATACTTCCTGAATAAAACCGCTTTTCTTGGCTTGCTCCAAATCCCTCCTTTTCCCTAGATAGAAACTCAAGTTGCAATAGCCTAGCCATACAGTCTGAATTTCTGTCAGTTCAAGAAGTAGTGTTGCCAATGTCAGCTTGTAAAACTGCACTATATTATAGTAATGCCTTTGCCATAACAGTATTTACCAATAATTATCCATGTTTTTAACACAGGTGGCATAAATCTTAATATACTATTACAGGACTGACACCACATGGTCCGAGAGCCCATCTTCAAGATATATATCACTTAGAGGTATCATGTCTATGCAATATAAGGTTGACTCTAAAGCTTGCTGACAAAAACCTGCTTATGGAAGTGATTAGATGCACAAGGCATCTTGACACCTTTGGATACCCCAGTGTAGAAAATTGTATCCAGCATCAAACAGATATAAACTATAGTATAGTGCAGCTTTATGTAGATCATTTTTCTGTAGGAAAATCCTGAGATTAACAGTTAGAAGAGTTTAGTTCTGTAGGAATAAAGGGTGTCATCACTTACCTAACATTTTGTTTCTGCATTATCTAATTGCTTTTTTAAACTGTGGTGCGATTCATCAGTAAATATCTAGCAGTTGCTGCTTGATGAGTCGTAAGATCACTTTAGTGTAACTGGAATGATAAATCCTTGATAAAGAGCTCATAAAACCTTGTTTCCAGTTTTTATTTCAAGTTTCCTCTTTAACTGAACTGTAGTTTCTATTTTCATTCTCTTGTTTTCTTACTTTCCTTATGCTTTCCTCTAGCAACCTACAGAGAGACAAGTATGGGAGTAAAACTTAACTTTGCCTATCAAATGTAAATTTTTTCAGCATGATTTTTAATGGGCACAATTAAAACATAACTAGCGGTCATGAAGTAGACTCAGCGGGCAAGTGGTTCACAATTTGCAAATGAAATGTTTCCACATTCAAAAGTACTTGCATACTGCTTTTTGGGAAACAACATGAGGTCTGTAGCAAACCCTATTGGTAACAGAAGTTATGCAATGCTGAAATAATTTGCTGTTTAAAACCAGAACAGTGTCAAGCAGAAATGCTTAACAATTTACTCATATTTTTACATTCCCATAGTAATCTTGCTACAGGCTATGGAAAGATTTCAAATGAATTACCTGATCGTGGGCAACGAAATTTGCCTCATCAAACCAATTTGAATATATTCTAGCATGCTTAACTCTGCAGTATATCATAGAAAATTCATTTTGGATTATCAGATATATTTTGGTATCTGTTTAGCAGAAGAAAAGAGAATTAAAATTATAGAATTAAATCATTTTCATGAGGGAAATGAATGCCAGCATGTGGTCCATGTGTTGTCTACTTTTATAAATGCCATATGTTCCGCACAGCTAAATCCATTGCAAGAAAAACCTTGGAACATATATGAAATTGCAAAACTACAAAGTTGTTTAATCAAAGCTTAAAGAGACCTTTCAAACAACCCTCATCACTGTTTAAATCAGTACACATGGAGAGGAGTCAACAATAACACAGATACAAAATGATTTGCAAATTACTCAGAATTTATTTGGAAATTATTACTCTATTTTTTAAAGACAGAATCTTTTCCTGAGAAAATGCAATTACTTTTTAATTGAAAACAATTATTTCCAGGGAAGACTGAATCTTCTAGGATAAGCTGCAGCTTTACTTATGGAAAAAAAAAAAACAAAACCAAAACAAAATGGAAAAATGTATAATCTTTTCAAAAACAACTTTTTTCTCATACTCCTCCAAGCCTTGCATATAATGCAGCAGCCTCACAGTGGTCAGTCTCATTTCAGTAAACGTCACTTCATTCTTTCTTTACTTCCAGACATACCTGTAGATAAAGTGATTTTCTAGGAATGCTCTAACCATCTGACTTTCCATGGTTCAGACTGTTTAATTTCTTTCAAAGTTTGGGGTTTTTTTTTCTTTCTTTCTTTTTTTTTTTCCTTTGCTTGGGAAGCACTGTGCTGTCATAGTTTACGTCTTTGTGTCTGTAGGAAAACCTTTTCTTTATCGTGTTACCAAAAAAAGAAAAAGCCAAAACCAAAAGCATAAAGACCTTAATCATCATAAGACTTCATTCCTCCTCCCCCTTAAACTTCTTTTCATGTTTCCAGCAGACTTACCCAATCTGTCATTCCTCCAGCAGCTATGAGATATCAGCCATGGCTGATTTCCTTTTCCCATTCCACAGCTAATATTTATTCTTTGGTTTAATTTCTGTGACCTATACTTACAGAAATTCCTAACATTTCTGCATTTGACTTCCATGCCCATGGTAACTGTGGGCCTAACTCTTAATTAACTATTTTGGTTCATTCAGCGCTGTCACTGTGACTGATGCAGACTGCAGGCAAACTTTGACCTTTAGAAGCCTGGGGCTGTTGTTGGCAGACAGAATATTAGTGCAAAAAAAATTACATTAAGTGGGGAAAAAAAAGCTGTTATTGCTTAGTAATCTAATTTGCTGAACCCTTGCTCTGACTAAGTTGCTGAAAAGCTCAGTAATTCTTCATCATGTTACAATAAATCATTTTACTTTCTTTTATATATCAGCTACTCTTAGGCCAGATAGCCTGAGCAGACAGACATGATGTGAGTTGTCCAAAGTGAGTCATTCCACCTGCTGTCTATTGTGTTGTTGGATGGTGCTTGTGGGCCCTGGTCCCTGTAGTGTGAAAGATGGCTGTCCTTGTTCAACATAAATTCTTTGTATTTATCCATTTTTTTTCATTCTTTTCTTTACTTCATCTCAAAAAAAAAAAAAAAGGAAAACAATGTTAGAAATGTTGTTGAAGTAGTTGCTTGCCAGTTACGTTTATGTTACACATTTACCTTCAGTTATGTCTGTAATTTAATTCCTTTTTAATTTAGTGTCGTTTAGGACAAATTCTGTTCATTTGCTCTTTCTAAATCATGATGGTGTACTTCAAAACATAGATTTTTCCAAATAAATTGCTTTGCATTACATATGCAAGGGCATGGAGTGAACAGTTCCTTGTGGAAGAGTCACAGAGTTGACACTAAATTAAGAAATCAAAATGCCACTATTCCCTACAGGAAATACACGTTACTGTTTTTAAGATGCATCTTTCCTATAAGGTGTGCAACTGTTTACATTTGGGAATGTTCAATAATCTAACTTTTCTCAAGTCTTACTTCCAAGTACAACTTTGTCCTGAACTACATTAAAGAATTTTGTTTAAAAAAAATAATTATGTGATAAAAAGCACATCAGGCAATAACCAAGAGCTGTCCTTTTCCATTTCAGGACATTCACTGAACAATGCCAGGGATACAAGTGCCATGGATACTCTACCGCTAAATGGTAATTTCAACAACAGCTACTCATTGCGCAATGGAGACTATAACGACAGTGTGCAAGTTGTAGACTGTGGACTAAGCCTGAATGATACTGCTTTTGAGAAAATGATCATTTCAGAATTAGTGCACAACAACCTGCGGGGCAGCAGCAAGAACCACAACCTGGAGCGCACGCTACCGGCCAAAGCTGTGATCGGCGGGAGCAGTAGCGAAGATGATGCCATCGTGGCAGATGCGTCATCTTTGATGCACAGTGACACCCCCGGGCTGGAGCTCCACCACAAAGAGCTCGAGGCCCCGCTCATTCCTCAGCGGACTCACTCCCTTCTGTACCAGCCCCAGAAGAAAGTGAAGACCGAGGGAACGGACAGCTACGTCTCACAGCTGACAGCCGAGGCTGACGACCACCTCCAGTCCCCCAACAGAGACTCTCTTTACACGAGCATGCCCAATCTCAGAGACTCTCCGTATCCAGAGAGCAGCCCCGATGTTGAAGAAGATCTCTCTCCCTCCAGGAGGAGTGAAAATGAGGACATTTACTACAAGAGCATGCCAAACCTAGGAGCTGGCCATCAGCTTCAGATGTACTATCAAATCAGCAGGGGTAATAGCGACGGCTATATAATTCCCATTAACAAGGAAGGATGTATTCCAGAAGGGGACGTTAGAGAAGGACAAATGCAACTAGTGACAAGCCTTTAATAGTGTAGCAAAGAAATATTAAAGGCCACGTACAAGTATTAAAAAGACTTAATTGGCCCCATGCAGGCTCCCTCGTATCTGCTTGAAGAGACAATTCTGTTGACCCTGTGGTTCTCCAGTAATGGGGATGACTGGACCTCGCAGTTCTGTGAATTTTTATAAAACAAAAACTTTGTATATACACAGAGTATACTAAAATGAGTTATTTGTTACAAAGAAAAGAAATACCAAACAAGGTATTTTAAGATATCTTCTGCTGCTGAATTTAACAAAATTGTGAAGAAAAAAAAGAGAAATAAAACACTTCTCAGCCATTTTACTGCAGCAGTTTGTGAACTAAATTTGTAAATATGGCTGCACCATTCTTTTTTCTAGGCCTACATTGTATTATATACAAGGCGTAGGCTCTAAAATCCTGTGGGACAAATTTACTGTACCTTACTATTCCTGACAAGACTTGCAAAAGCAGGAGAGATATTCTGCATCAGTTTGCAGTTCACTGCAAATCTTTTCCATTAGGGCAAAGATTGAATACATGTCTAACCACTAGCAATCAAGCCACAGGCCTTATTTCATATATTTCCTCAACTGTACAATGAACCGTTCTCATGAAAAAAAAAATGGCTAAAGAAATTATATTTTGTTCTATTGCTAGGGTAAAATAAATACATTTGTGTCCAACTGAAATATAATTGTCATTAAAAAATAATTTTAAAGAGTTTGAAGAAAATATTGTGAAAAGCTCTTGGTTGCACATATGTTATAAGCTGTTTTTCTTACACTGTTCATAGTACGGTAGTATGTTTAAATGCAAGTTCTACCCGTTTTCACTTATTTTTCACTGTAAACAGTGTTCTGCTTTGACAAGTTAGTTTTTATTCTTACGTTTTGAATTTTTATTGCCAAAAACCATAATTTGGGGAGAAAATTGTTTGAGAAACCAATTATGCCAAGCCTTGCACAAATTTGGTATAGCTAACAAAGATTGTAACTCAATTCCCTGTTCATTCTTTAATTAATCAGGGTTGGGTGGTAAGGGATAAAGGGGACACCGGACACTTCTCACAAGCTTTCTCGTGAATAAAAGGTGCCTGTCCTTTAAAAAAATAAATAAAACGTAACTATTACTCTTCCATATTCCTTCTGCCTATATTTAGTAATTAATTTATTTTATGATAAAAATCTAATGAAATGTAAATTGTTTCAACAAAATTCTGCTTTTTTTCATCCCTTTGTGTAAACCTGTTAATAATGAGCCCATCACTAATATCCAGTGTAAAGTTTTAACACCTGTTTGACAGTAAATAAATGTGAATTTTTTTTGCAAATAGGTAAAATGTGCATTCTTATGTACGAAGCATAATTGGCATCACCAGTCCTTCGACCCAGCTGAATCCTGCTTAGACTGGCTTCTTTACATTTCATGATTTAATGTTGAGAATACAATAGAAACTGTCTCTATAGCTCTACAGAAGAGAGGTCATCTTACCTATTCATTACTCTAGTCAAAATTGGATAAGATCAAACTCAGACATAGCAGGGTCATTAGGAAAATGTACTGTAATTTCATCATTTACATAACTTTTAAGTAGGCATCTGTGCTGAAATTAAAAATAAGGTGGTAAACACCAGTATTGTATTCTCAGCAACAGTAATTAGCAGTTAATTATTAGTGATGAAGATATATTGTTGCAGTGGGGAAAACATGAATAAGCATTTGGATAGCACTGAGAGCTATCTAAATAATTAATCCATCATGGCATTGTTTCGAGTTAGATAAATAAGCATGACTGTCCCTATTTTTATCAGACCAGAGAACTGCAGAAGGCAGCTGATGTCCAAGATGTTACTGACCAAATCAGTGGCAAAATTGGAAGTCCGAGGTCTTTGTTTTGTTGATTCCCAAGCCTCTTTTGTCCCTCTCAGTCAGGGCCTCTCAAAAGATAATGCCAAGGACTTCATTTGTCACCACTCCCAAAACTGTATTCTTCCAAATAACACCAAAATTAATGCCCTGTTATCACAGGGGTCACCATTTCACATGTGGCAGTTTGTGATTACATGTATGATAACAGCAAAAATTCACTTGAAAGCCATATCAGTTGTTACCTTCTAATGCATTGGAATATATAAAGTCCATTTGGAAAATAAATCAATGCGTTTTGAAAAAGTTTAGGAAGAGCATTTTGGGCAAGATTTCCTGCTGTTGAGACAATTCAAAATGTAAAAATAATAAAATCTAGGTTGAGGTGGAACCCTGGGGTTCAGGTAATAATCAGGACTGTGACACTGTAGCAGATGTTCGTGAAGAAAAAGGCGTCAGCACCATTCACCCTACTGGTAACTCTTGCTGTTCCTTAACAGTTAAAAGTTACTATGGTTGCAGTTCCAGTCACTGGAACATTTAAAATTAAATCAGAAACTGTTTAGCTCTGTTGAGTAGAGATGCTTTAAAAATCTGAAGTCTCTGTGAAGTAAGAATTTGTTCTGATTCAGGGTATACAGCAGACTCTTTGGAGCAAAAATTATTCTCTTGGTCTGTCTGGCAACTTAAAAGCATACTTGCTGCCTTCTACCTAGGAAATTGTGTCTTAGGGATTTAAAAATTGTGGTGCTCAAGTAATTACAGTACACATGACCTAATAATGTCACCAACTTCCAACAGAATCTTCAACCTTTGTTCAAGCAAGTACTCCTTTGTGTCTAACTAAAGGTGGCAAAACTACATACTGGAAGAAGGTTTGTAGCATTGTGATCTTAAATATATAGTCAATGGCAAATGTAACAAGTATTCATAAAACAAGAAAATGTAGCTGATGAACCTAAGATGAACCAGATGAACCTAAGTATCATAAGGGAATTCTTTTGTTAGCTTCTTTGTAACGTAGATGTTGCTTTTTAGTGAGCCTGATTTTTTTAATGTTATGCTAGTGAGTGTCCTGTGTTCAGCTAGCAGCCGATTCCTTGCCAAATTTCTGTTGGTGTAACTTCTCAGTGTAGTAGGTTACAGTATAATTATATAGCCGACAGCTTATTGTAATTTCTTTATGTTCTCTTCTCACGTTCCTGCCATCTTGTCTTGGGATCAGAAGGACAGAAGAATTCAGAGGAAGAGTTCGAAAATAGCGAAATAATGACAGCAGAATTAATGGAAACAAGTGTTTCTTCAGGGTCATCAGTTAACCAGTTCCTATGATGGTGCCAAGGATATGCTGCTATTTTAGGCACTGTCTTTCAGAAGAGCTGTAATTTTCTTATGGCTAGTAATCTCCTGTTAGTATCAGTGTTAACCCTACTAGCACAATTCAATTCTTCCTTGTAACTTCAGTCCAGTTATATTAATTCCTGCAAAAGATTAAATGGGATGTGCATTTAGTGAACTGTTGTATAATGGTGCTATGCATTGTTTAATATAAAATACATCTCAATTCTACATAAGTGAACCATAACATGAAGAAATGCAACACTGGTAATACCTTTATAGTTAAAATTAACCTTTATCTGTGAATTCTACAATACACCTTCGCTTCTTTTAAATTTGAAATGAAATTACTAATAAAGTTTACATATATTCACTTATGTAGGCAATAAAAGGTGTTTCAAATTGACTTAAGTTATGGATAAAATATGTGTCATATTTTATGTCCTAATTTTTAAGGAAATTTTTTTCTGAACCACTTGGACATTAACAGAACAGCAAAAAACCCTAAGCAGTCCCTGTGTACTGTTGTTACCCCACTTTGACTCAAAACTAACTAAACTTGTCTTCTAGACTTGATTATATGACAATATATGCCAGTGTAAAGTTTTTTTCCCTGAATAAAAATGTCTTAAAAAAGAAGCTACAGATAGACAATTATATATATGCAACATCTTCACTGGGGTTTTAACTCACCTAATTCTAAGGGACAATGGAGAATGAAAAATGCTGGGAGACAGCCGTAATTCTTCAGTTCCACCTCAGCTGTACCTGTAGCGAAGATACTTGATGCCAAGGAGGTCACAGTAAAGTACACCTTAGATTTTTTTAAAGTAGACAGTGACAGGCACTCTCCACATTTATGAAGATAATTGCTGCCATTTTGGTAAAGGTGCTGTATGGCTGCAATGTGAGAGAAGAACCCCAGGTTCATGAATGTACTGGTGTGCTTGTTCTCTGCTTCACAAATGCATTACAGGTTGGAATCCAGCTTTGCACTGAGATGGGGAGAAAAATTAATTCCACTATGGCCCTGGAAGCAAGAGATCTGTGCTTCTTATTTGTATAAACAGTTAATTAGGAATTCAATTAATGGATCCAGCTCAATCACCTGGCTCCAACAAAAATCTGGAGTGAAGGTTCATTAGGGACCTGTGTATTTCAATAGTGTGTTTTTTTTTAGTAAAATCCTCCATGTGGTCCTTAGAATGACAACTTCCAAATCCGTTTATTCATGCAGGATAAATTCTCAATGGTATTTCATTAATTCATGCTTAAGAGCATGAATACCTCTTTTACTGTATTATGTCATCATTAATCTCAGCCATTCCCCATCAAAGTTCCTGGCATGTGAAATGGATCACACCGTGGTGCAGCCTGAGTGGTTATAAATGCTACTGAAAAAAATCAAACAAGCCTTAACTCAGCAGCAAGGAGATTTTAAAGGACCATTCCATATAATGCACCAGCTGCTGGAGTCATCAGTCCAGGATCCCAGAAGGGGGAAGTCACAGTTGCAGAAATAACATTAGGAATAGGTAGTTCTGTCAAGAAAATTCTACAGCAAAGTTATGTAATTCTTAAGTGTTTCTTGCTTGGGTGTACACCTCCCTTGTGTTGGTGTAGGAGCCCTGGCACGACGTAGACTTTGCACTGCCAACCAGTTAAAAGTTTCAGGACGGCAAAGCTGAGCACAAAAATATCTATGGTCATTAAAAGTCTGATCGACAGACAGGAAGCATCAGGTTAGTATCTGTACGGGCTTTTCTAATGGAGAAGCAGGATCTCTGAATAAGCAGCACTGAATAGCTATCTGGAATATCTAACTGTTCCAGTCCTCTTATAGCATAATTGATTTAAAATAGCATAATGCTGCTGAACTTTTTGCCTCCGTGATTGCTTAAGAGAGTAAGTCCTAAAGGTTAACGAGGTTTTCATGAAAATAATTCATTTTCATTCTCTTTAAATGTACCACTTTTCTTCCGTTTTGCATTAGCAGGATAAATAGAAACTTCATAGCTTGTATTTATAACACTCAATGTTTTAAATACTTTACCTCTATCCCCTATTGCTTGACTCCTTTCTAAACAAATCCTTGTTTTCAGCCTCCTGTTTCTCTAATCCTTTATCTGCCAGTCCACAGAATTACTTTTTGTCAATATGCTTTAAGAGACAGGGCAAGAACAAAGTTATGGGCGAATCATTAGCGTTGGTTTATGGATGGAATTCTATTGTCTATTGTGTGTTCCTTTCCCCCCCTTTTTCCCCCCCCCCCACATAGTCTTACATCATCTTTTGTTTTTAACAACATCATCTTTTGTTTTCAACTTCACAACACACTTTTTTCCACTAACCTGATCATAGCAAGTAATGACCTAAATAGTTATGGCTAATTTAGAACCCTGCAAAGCCTAGGAATACTTCAAATTATTCCCCTGAATGTGTCCCCAGACTTGTATTTGTCAGCATTGCGTCTGCATCACACATAACACTTCCCATTTATTCACTTTGTTAACCCAGGTCATTCACAATCTTCCCTGTTCTGATTAACTGAAATAATTCTGTGTTACCAGCAAACAGTGCCATCTTTCAGATAGCCTGCTCATCTTCTTCAGATAGCACCAGTTTGAGTACAGTGTTGGGGCACTATCATTAGCCTTTTGCCATGATAAAAAAATTGACCATTTAATCCTGCTCTACGTCTTAGTTTCTAATGGAAAATTACCTCTCACTTTCTCAATCCTGATTTGTTTAAATGGCTTCTTGGTAGGGATATTTTTACAAGGATTTTTTTTTTTTTATTAAATCCAAATAAATTACATCAGCCATTCCCTCTACTCTCAGCCACTGCATGATTGACTTAATTTTAGTATGCTAGAGAGGCACAATTTTCTTGCCCTAAGTAGTTACAGCTCTTTTTGCAATGTTTCCTCTGCACTATGTGCTTAAACATGGAGCTGCTAGATGCCAGACACAAAAAGCACTTAACCGGTCAAAGGGAAACTTGGGTGGAATTTAGGCACTGAAATCCCCAGGGGACATCATCCACATGTAAAATGGGCATTACTTCAGGGGCAGAATTAATTCTTACCTTGTAGAAGCATTTTGCCATCCCACGTCTGG